GCTAAGCGTGCAGGACAGGAAATAATTACAAAGGCGATAAAAATGCGTATGAGCGCGAATCTGCCTAATAAGCTTTAGCTAGAGATACTAGATGCAGCTGCTTAGCTTTATAGGATGAGCCTAACAGCAATGCATAGATATCGATCACTAAATAAAGTTCTTAATTCCTGGTTTCGACAATACTTTAGGTACTACGAACTAGCAGTTATTCGATCAAGAACAGCTGATCTACGCCTAGATTAGAGTAGTATATATGCGTACGGCTGTTGAGCCTATCTATTAAATTTAGATCAGGCAGCTAGTACAAGACACAGGTTTTTTAAAACCAATCCTAGGGGTTATATTAGATACTTAGTAGGCTATTAAGCCTCGAACATCTATAGGATATAGATCTCTTTGCTTAACTAGGTTATTATAACTCGCAATGTTAGGTTTAACGAAAGTCGTTTCTTTTAAGGAAAGAACGATGAGAACATAGAAAAGGAATCAGCGCTTAAGGTTGCTGATATCCTGCACGATAGCGAGCTAGATAATCTAGGTCTTCAAATTGAGGTATAGATTGTACCTAGAAGAGCAGCAAACTAATGAGGTTAGGAGGGATACTAAGAGCAATCTTAGAGGTGAACTAAGTGCACAAACTAATCAGACAGCCGGCTAACCAAACGATTAGAGAGTTATGCAGGAAGAAACTGCGCGAGACAATAGCATGGCCAGCAATTAACTAAGAATTCGCGCAGGACCTCCAAAAGATTAAAATTAGCTTACAACCCCAGAATCTACACCTGAGCCAGGTGATATAGGGGGAAACTTAGAGCTTAAGGCTTAAAGTATAGGAGGAGACAGCTAACAGCAGATGCATCTAGCTAATAGAGCTAGCCCGTCTCGCTCTAGTAATTAGATTAGATCATAGAGGGCAACACTGCAGCGTGTTACCCGCTCTGCTACTTAACCTAGAGGACTTAACTTAAACACTCTAGACAAAGCAGATGAGTTGCTCGTTTAAGCACGCCAGCAATTGCAGCAAACGACTACTTCTAATCCAGGTGCAATAGAGCCACAAGCTCCGCGCACTCAGAGAATGAGCTGAAGGCAACAAGGCAAAGCGCTAGAAAATAATTAAGGAACAAGTACCTACCTGCTATTGCGCAGGAGGAGAAGAGATAGCAATTAAGATAACTAGATAGAAGGTGCGGGTACTAGAGTATATACACTAATCGCCGATCTAGATAACAATGATAGTTTATAGGCTAACTTTCAGAATACCTTCTTGCTAGGCGCAAGAAGAGCGTAGAACGATGTAAAAGAGTTATAAATCTATAAACGCTGTAATTATAGCAGCCACTCTAACTAATTAAATACTAAAGTCGACCTAACTGCACTAAAACGAGCTTCCAGATCTACCTAAGACTTAGAAACAATTTCTTCAATACAAACATAAGGTGTAGTTTGAAGCTGCAATGAGACAAGAGATTAAACAGCTTCGTAAGAAAGATACCTAGACAATTCAGCTAACAAGCAAAGCAATGATCTGACTAATCCCGTTAAAGTAGGTTTAGACCTATAAGTTCGATCAAGATAGTATGCTGCTTAAGTGCAAAGCACGTATAGTTGTACGAGGAGATCTTTAAGAAAAAGACTTGCTTAATTCGACCTACGCTGCTACCTTAGCAGCAAGATCGTTTTAAGCAGCAATAGCTATAGCTGCCTACTTTGATCTAGAAGTTATGCAAAATGACGTAATAGGAGCATTCCTCAATGCAACGATTACAAAGGAGAACCCTATGCTGTGTAAGCTTTCTAACAGTTTTAAGAAACCTAGAATGTGCGTTAGGCTCAATTAAGCACTTTATAGTATGAGAGACTCACTACTGCTGTAGTATAAGGAGTTCTTAGGAACACTCTGATTATTAGGCCTTATCTTATCAAAAGAAGAACCCTGCCTCTTCTTTGACAAAGATAAGAAAGTTCTGATACTTTTCTACGTTAATGATATCCTTTTGCTATATTATAAGGCTTGCGAAGCTTTTGCAAAAGACCTGTAGATTAAGATTACTACGAAGTATGAGATACAAGAATAAGGGCTAGCAGAGTGGTTCTTAGGCATAAGGATCGTTAGAAACTAAGAAAAGAGAATAATCACGCTAGTTCACGATACCTACATTGAGAAGATTGCAAAGAAGTTTAACTTAATTAATAGAACCTTTCCAGCTACTCCTCTACTATCAGAAGAGCTTAAAAAGTTCGAGGGAGAAGCTACCAAGCAAGAAGTTAAGCTTTACTAGAAAAAGGTCAGATCAGCATTATACACTGCGATAATGCTGCGCCTAGACGTAGCTTTTGCAGTATCAAAGCTATTACACTACCTAACTAATCCTAGCTAAACGCATATAAGCATAATTAATTAAGTTATCATGTACCTATATCATACACGATGGGAAGCGATCCAATACAGCAATTATGATAGTTCTAACCTCATGATATGTAGAGACGCATTATTTGCAGACAACTTAATCACCTAGCGCTCATCTTATAGATACATAGCCATGCTCTTTAGAGGAGCTATCCTATAGAAAGCTGCTTAGCAAAGTACAGTAACGACCTCTACAACTAAGGCTAAGCTTATTGCACTTAAGCATATTACGAAGGAAACTATTGCCTTAAAAAGGTTCTTTAACGAACTCACATTTAATCTAGGCGATTTATAGAAGATCTAGTGTGATAACTAGCAAACAATCAGACTTATTATTAGTTAAAATAAGCGAATTACTACCCATCTTCGACATGTTAACATACAAAACATATAGCTTAGATAAGAACACGCAAAAGGGTCATTCTTAGTAGAGTACTTGCTAACAAAGGAAATGCTAGCAGATAGACTAACTAAAGCTCTTACCTATTAACAATTCGATCACTTTAAGCAGCTTTTAAACCTTAAGGACATAGTTAGATTAGTCACAGTTAATAGCAATAAGATATGATAGCATCAGTTTAATTACTATTAGTAAAGGGCCTTTAAGACCAAGAAAGCTTAAGCAGAGCGAATAAGAGGCCTTTTTAACTACCTGCTACTCCAGAAAGATCGTTTAATCTAGCACATCTATACAAGAAGTGAGGAGAACTACGCCCAAAGCGTTAAGAAAAGAAAAGTTTGCTTAATAGCAAGAAGATCGAACCAAGACACTTAGTCTAGAAGGTCCAAAGCTATCTGCATAAGACGCATTAAATCCTTTATAATATAAAGCACAGAAGCACGACGCTCGTTACGATCAGGTTAAGCTAAGGTGTAGTATCGCTCACAAATATCTAGAGCAGGAGCAAGAGAATCCTAAGGAACTCCACGACAATTAAGACGCCTCTCTTGCCTTACTATCTTATCCTCAAACGAAATAAAAGAGATAACGTTACTTTAGTCAAAGTAACGCGCCTCTTCATTATCTAATAGATGGCGATTAGCGTAGCTCTAACCAGGGCGATCTACTGAATTTGCGATAGGGAAAAGGTTAGCGTTAGGGTCAGTTATATAAGGAAGCTTAAAGAAGAACAGATTAGGCTGTAAAGTAGTAGGACTAGGTAGCGCAACCTTCTTACTACTAGTTAAAGAGGTGGCAGCACTACTGCAGTCAGCTCAATCGCTACTACTAAACTCAGAGGCAGGAGAAGTAAGCGCTAGTTAACTGTTACGAGCATCTTAACTCTAGGCAGCAGCAGTAAGCTAACGATTCAACTTAACTAATCCGGAAACTTAAGGATTAGCATCAGAAGGCTGCTAAGACTACTAAGAAGTTTAGGAAGAAGGGCGAATTAGACCTTGCCTAGTCTCCCCAAAGGCAGGACGCTTTAATTAATCTTTACGAGGCTTCGCCGCAGTACCAGTCTTAATAGACTTAATTACAGCAGGTTAAGGAACGTCCTTCAGACGCGCCTCTTAATCAGCCTTCTCCTTCGCGAGGCGCGCCTCTTATTTAATAAGAAGCTTCTTCAAGCGCGCCGCTGCATCAGCCTTAGCCTTCTTAATCTTCTTAAGACTAGATCGAGTCTTAGCAGCACGCCTATTAAGCTCCCTTGCCTAAGCTTCCAATCTCAATAACTTAAGATTAGCCTTACTGTCACCGATCGTCATCACCGGATTAGGGCTAGTTAGATTAATAGTGCTCTGTCTGGTATTGCCCGTAACGATAGGCGGAGTGTTAAATAAGAATTCCTGCTTAAACTAAGACAGAAGCTTATGCTGCGCTTCTACAGAGAGAGCGTTTTGAACGTTAGCAGCATCTAGAATCTGCTTAGCAGGTAACTTAGAAGGCTTAGAGATTAAAACAATCAGCTTAGTGCTACAAAAGCCGCTGTCTCAATCCACTTAAGCCTGCAGCCTTGCAAGAAAAAGGAGAATTTAATCTATAAAGGTTAGTTAGAGTAGCCTTGTTCCTCCTCTTCTCTCTAGGCGCCTTTTTAGGCACAAGAGGAGCAGGACGAATAGGCCCACGCGAGCTGCTTAAAGAGAGACTTAACTCTAGATTAGTAGAATGCTAAATAGAGCTACTAGGTGCAGCTTAAGCTAGTTAGGAAGAGGCAGCATAACTAGGACGAATCGATTTCTTGTTCACGCTAAGAGAGGTGTCGATATGACCTATTTGGTTATCGAAAGCAACTAGAGCGTTAAGATCAAAGCTAGCTGAGGTTAAAGCGCTCTTATTATCAAACAGCTTATTAAGCACATTAGTCTTACGACTAAAAGGCTTAGCCTGCTCACTACGCTCAGTTTCTAGAGGACTAGAGCTTAGGCTAGAAAGATCGCTAGCGGGCACTATAGTCTCATCCTCCTCCTTATCATCTTAAACAGAGGCCTGGTAGGCAGACACCTTTAAAGGGGTTAAATCGGTTAAGAGCAACTTTCTATCAGAGCCTATTTTCTGACTAAAAGGATCTAAATAGAGTTGCGAAGGCGTAAGTAGCGCAGCTTTCTTCGCGCGCTTAGAGGTTAGATTAGATGCGGCGGTTTCAGATCAGTCGCGCTTGAAGCCGGACAGCTTATTATAACTAGCGATGTACTCACGGACCTCGTCTATAAGCTTATTTCGCCTATTAGTATACTCAGAAGTCTGCAAAAGATTAGTACAACGCTGCTATAATAAGATTAACGATTACTTACAGTTATAGTTGCCGTATTGCCTATAGCGTAGTCGTACAAAGCCATCGTCTTGGTTACAAAGGGATTAATGCTATAGTACAATCAGTACGAGAGGTAACCAAAACAAGGTAAGAAACATGCCTTAGAATGCACTGCTTAGAGTTGCAGGCAGCGCAACGACCTAACTTGCTACCCTTATTAACATATTTAAGCTTGTTCTTAGTCAAGTTGCTTAACTACTTAAGGATGCAATTAGCGCAAGGGCTCTCGCAGGGTGCCCTAGCGACTAGCTTCAATAGAGTATCTAGGGCCGGATCGCTCTCCTCAGAAGCTGACTTCTGCTGATTGATTCGAGCTGAGGCGCGCGTGCCTTTCAAATCTAATGCCTTAGAGGACTAAGCAGCGCGAGCGTTCTCAAGGTTCTTCTTCTGCGCCGGAGTAGCCGTTTTTCCCTTTTGCTGCGAAACAGCTAAGTTAGCATAACTAATAGCCTAGAGTTCAAGGCGATCGCGATGCAGAGTACGCGCAAGGTACTCAAGCACCTCTTGATTAGTAGGACTTACTAGAGCCATAGTCAGCGAGTTGAATTCTTGAAGCTAGGTAGTAGGGTGTCAAAAGATCGTAAGGCGCAGGGCAAGGTGTTGATATCGCGCGCGCTAAGGCCAAACGCGCAAGTTAACTGATCTCTATGACAACGCAACAACAAACAGACGCTTACTAATCGAGTGATTGGGGCAGAGCAGGAGCGGGGTAATAGCTTATTTACATGCACACTGCGTGACGTCATCTTAATCAAACAGAGCAATTGAGATAGGGGGTGTGTCGCAGTATTAATACACGAGAATAGTAAAGTACTAATCCACGTAACTGAGCTGACTAAGCTCAGGAAGTAGACTAACGTTTCTCCGTAATCTATTTGTATATTTAAGCCAGCTCTTCTGATACATTAGAAGAGCAGTGATCAATACAATCTTTTCTCTTAAGTTTGCTCAGCCACAACATATTATTATCTCTATTCTTCTTTATACTATTTTAATATACACTTTTACTCTTATTGTAGCGCATAAATAAGAGGCAGTAATATAAGAAGATTATCTATCTTCTTATCTAGTAGCAGAGTATTATCTGCTAGAGATAGAAAAAGTAATAAGTTACTTATTACTAAGAGAGTAAGTATAGTTAAATCTTTCTCTACTTTAATATCTATATATCTTTCTTTATTTATTATCTTATACTTAAGAATTATAATATCTTAGATAGACTAAGCGTTTAGTCTATGCTAGCAATCTCTAATTATTTTCTTTATAGTATTAAATACTTACTCTATACTAACCTGCGTAATCTGCACTACTAGTATATTCTTAGCAATCTAAGCAAGCTAAAAATATAAACTCTTATTTAATTTCTACTATGCTAGCATATTAATGCTATCCTTATTATTAGAAGGCTTAATTATAAGTATTATAAGATAAGATTCTCTCTTATCTTATATAGATAGAGGCTTATCTTTAGCAGTAGCTAAGAAGCTACTAAATAGTAACTATAAAAGTAATAGTAGCTTATAAAACTACTTTAAAGGTAATTATTATAAGTTATTTATTAGTATAAGTATAGAAGTTCTTGCTAGTAGAGCGTTGTAGCGTTTAAAGTATTATAGAAATAGTTCTTAGTAAGTATATTTATAGTATAGCTCTTATAATAAGTTCTAGCACTATAGTAAGTTAGCACTATAATAAAATAGCATAATAAATATACTTTATATACTATAAGCTTCTTACCTAGATCTAATATAGTTACTATATTAAAAATAACCTCTTTCTTATTAGCTATTTAAGAATAATACTTCTTTAGTTTCTCTTAACTCTTTTCTGCAGCAGCTCTAATAACGTCTAGCTATAGAGTACTATTTATCTTAATGCTATCCTCCTCTAGGCTAGATTTAATATTATCTAGAAAATTAAATAGCTAGTTATATATAAGCTATATATTATTAACTTAAGGCGCATTATTCTTGCTAAGTGCAGACGTAGCTTCTTTAAACTTACTAAGTAGATAGATAATTAACTATATATACCTCTACTTACTTAGTCCTAGTTAGAGCTTTTAGAGATCTCTCTAATTAACGTTATTGCAGCTATAAAGATCTACCTAGAAGGCAGTTAGTCTATAAGCAATCTTACTCTCTAGCTATCTATTAATATATAGTTGCAATTAGATTACTTGCTTATATATATTATATATAGAATTTTATCTTATACTATTATTATATATTATAGATAAGTAAGCTATTAGAGATAATTCTAATTGCAAGGCTATAAACTGCTTAAAATGCTAAGGCAATAAATTAATAGCTATATAGTAAGCCTAGATTAGTATAGATATTAGTACGTAATAAAAGCATATAATAAAGAGTAACCTACTTTGCAAAGTAAGTTTAGAACTAATATCTTAGCATATATATTCTAAATATACTGCTGCTATAGTCTCTAAGCCTTCTTAATATTATAAGATGCTACTAGCTTTAGATGCTTAATAATATCCTATACTATAAAGTTAATTACGTAAGCAAGATATGTAATTATATTCTTTTTTATATTCTAGATAATATTATTCTCTAGAAGCTATTGCTCTAAGTTAGAGGTAAGTATACTATTATTTTCTGCATTATTACTTATAATAGCTAGAAGTTTTATAGTTATTTAAGTAGACTTAAGAGTCTTTATAAGCTTAGTTACTATAGCAACACTAGTATAGCTTCTATAAAGTAGGATAAAATTAAGTAGCTTCTTAGTAAGCTACTAGTTATTATTAATATAGTAACTAGTAATTACAAGAAATACTAGATAATTATCTGCTATCTATTTATCTAATATAATAGACAGCTTTGTCTTTATGCTTATAGAAGAAAGATATTATGCCTTAGTAATATTAGCCTATTCTATAATAGCCTTGCAGAGTTTATAATAGCTTATTATTATAGCGTCTAGCTAGAGGAAGTATATAAAGCGTTTAAATAAGACTTAGTTAACTATATAGAAGGACTAGTTATTATTAATAAATACGTAGATAAGCTTATGCTTAAATGCGTTAGTTAAGTAGAGTATAATAAGATTTTATTATTGCTATTATTTTATTAAAATTTAAGTCTTAGTTATAGAATAAATAGAGATATTAACGTTGTTGCATAGATTTAAGGCTTTATAGTTAAGAAGATAAGTTATGCTAATTATTTAGATAGCTAGGTGTTATAGAATATACCTGCAATTAAGGTAGTAAACGTATAGTTAGCTAGTACTAATATAAGTATACTGCTTAAAATAGGTCTATATAGTAGCTATACGCATAGTAGAGTTCTAGCGTAGATTTCTAGGTTCTAACTTCTTCTTACTATAATAAGTATTATTTTACTAGCTATTCTAAGCTACAAATAACTTTATATTAGCATCTAGTTTAGATTAACAGAGAATCTAGAGCATAGTTATATTATCTTCTTATTAGAGAGAGAAGGCTCTAAGCTCTAGCTTATATAGGATTTCTAGAATCTCTAGAAATAATTTAGTAATATTAGCTAATAGAATAGATATTCTTATAATAATAGAACGTAATAATATAAGAGTAGTTATATTTATTAGGCATTATATAAGTAGATAGATTTTTAAAATTATATAGACTATAAGTTAAAATACTAAGTTATAAGTTATTAATAATAAGTATAAAGCAGATATAGACGTATGCATAGATATATAGACTCTCTATGCTTACTTAGCATAATATATATAAGTAATTATATTATAAGTATATAAGAGTTATAACTCTCTGCGCTTACTTAGCGTAATATATATTAGCAATTATATTATATATATATAAGAGTTATAGTTAGTATATTAAGATGCAGCATATTTAGAAGCTAGCAGAGTTTTTAAGTATTACTCTATAATAATTAGCTTAGATAATAGCTTAGTATTATACCTTTAAGCTTATACTTTATTTAAAGCACTAGCTATTTTAAAACTTAGCTAGTCTAAGAACCTCTTAAAGTCTAACGCCTCTTTAGTTTCTAATTCTAAATTCTTATTCTTAATTACTATAGCTTCTTCTATACTATCTATTTTAGGCTTTTCTTCTTTACTTTTATCCTTCTTACTAAGCTTGCTATCTAGTCTATAGTTATCTAGAAGCTTACTTAAGTACTTCTTAAGCTTAAATTTCTTTTTATCTATATCTTTAACCTAGATCTTATAGTCTAAGTTTAGAATATACTTGCTAATTTCCTTAATATACTTAGAGTTATATAGCTTAGCAGTATTAGTTATTATATATAATAAGTATATATAATAAACTTACTTCTAGTTATTATTTCTTATAACTTTAAGATTATTAGTAGAAAGTTTTCTGCAAAATCTCTACTATTCTTTTTTTTTAGCTTTGCTCTTAAACTCTTTAGACTAAAGCTTTTTAAGATCTAACTTATACTCTTAGCGCATAATCTTCTTAAGAACGCTACTAAAGCTAAATAGATGCTTAGTAGAGTTTAGGCCTTTACTTTATTTAGAGCGTTTAACTTTCTTAGTAGAAGCTTTATTAGCTTTATTAAGAGTTAGCTAATATATGCATAAGTTAATTTTCTACTTAATATTATCTTATCTCTTATAGGCGTTTATTAGCATATTCTCTAGCTACTTAGCTATAGTAGAGTAAGTATTTAACTATAATAAAGGTATATAATAATTTACTACTAGACTTTTATCTAAAGCGCTTTTCTATAAGCGCCTTATATATATCTCTAACCTTTCTAGGCTAACTCTTATATAGTATATTAGAATTATACTCTAGGAAAATCTTTCTTAATGCGCTTTCTAAGGTATTTCTTTATAGCTTAGTTAGTATCTTTTACTTTTATAAGTACTCTCTCTTCTTTAGATCTTAGCATAGTATGCTCTCTTTAAGCTATAGTATAGATAGTAGTACTTAGTTTATACTTAGAATTAATAATAAAGTTAGTAGAGTAGCTACGCTTAACTTCTTAACTATAGAGTATAAGAATCTAACTAACTTTATTTAGTCTTAACTTAAATCTCTAGTTATATTAGTATATGCTATTATAAAACGCTATAATAATATCTTACTAATCTTAACTTACTTATTAAAACTAAAATTCTCTAGAATAGTAAGGTTATAATCTAGTAGTAGACTCTCTAGTATATCTAAGTTTTCTTCTTAAGTATATGCTATACTATATTATAAAGTAGTATAATAAAAGTATATAATAAAACCTAGTAGTAGAGAAGTAGCTAATCTAAAGTTTAGAAAGTTAAGAATATAAAGTTATAGCCTATGCGCTATTACTTAAAAGCTATACTAGCGTAGTTGCTAGATTAATAACTCTATATAATATATATTAAATTCTCTAGATATTAGACTAAGCTAAAATTAGTATAAAATAAAAGCTAGCAGTAAGTACTATTATCCTATTTATTATTATAGTTTCTTATTATATATAGAGATATATATTATGCTATAGAGGCTATAGCACTTATAAATAGATAAGAGATAAATAAAACTTTTAAAAAAAGAGGTTTTTATCTCTCTAACTAGAAATATCTTGCTCTAAAATAGCTATATCTTAATAAAACTAGTGCTAGAAGAAAGCGCAGACTCTAAACTATTAGCTTATAAATTATTATAGTTTATTATCTTATATCTAGCTCTGCATAGAAGTAGCAGATCTAAAATTAGAGCTTTCTGCTACTTTTACGCTAGCAGAGGTCTACGCATGCTAGTAGATTTACGCAGATATTTAAATTATTAGGTTTTCTTTATATACTATTACTATAACTTCTTTAAATTTCTTAATATATTTTAATATATCTTCTTAAGTATTAGCCTCTAGCAGTAGTAATAATAAGAAAGAGACTCTTATTATACTTATCTTAGCTAAGATTTCTATACTTACTAATATTAAAGATTCTTAAATTAGTAGTAATAAGAACTCTGCTAATAATAATAAAGAAGAGGTTAATAATAACTTTAAAGAGCAGCCTCTACGTTAGAAGAAAACTCTAAAAACTTCTAAGTTAAGAGTTAGCGCTGCTAAGGCTAAGAAGAAGAGATTAGCTAGAGTTAGTAGTAAAGAGCTTAGAAAGAACCTTACTTCTATAGCTGCGCGTAAGAAACTTATTATTCTAAAACTTAGCACTAAGGCTTTAATAAATACTAAGACTAGAAGAGCTAAGGCTAGTAGCCAAGAAAAGCTTATTACTATAAGCTAGGTAGTACGTTATTATAGCTTATTATTATATCTAACTACTTACTATACTTAGCTGTATCTCTAAGATAGATCTATTAATATTAGAAGTTAATAGAAATGCTTATTTCTAAGGCTCTGCTTAACTACCTTATTAGAGAGATTACCTAGTAATATAGGCCTAATTTTTAATTTTAGAGAGTTATAATTAATATAATTTAAGAGGCGTTAGAGGCTTTCCTTATTAGTTACTTTAAGAGTATATTATATTATACTTTAATTAATATATACTAATATCTCTAGACTATAATATTAATATAATATATGCTAAGCGCATTACTATTTAGAAAAAGAATAGTAAGCTTACTATATACTACTACTAGAAGCTACTTATATTAAACCTATTTATAAGCTATACTAGCAGGTACTTATATAAGTATAGAACTAAAACTTTATATAAAGTATAGTAAGCTTACTATGCGCTATTATAAGAAGCTACTTATATTATTACTATTTCTAAGCTATAATAGTAGGTACTTAAATAAGTATATAAAAGTCTCTATAAGTCTAAATATAGATGCAGCATAGGCGCTAGCTACTTTCTCTATATAATTAAGAAGTTTAGAATATAAATATGTCTCTACTATAATAAATAACTATAATAACTATTACGTTGCTAAAATATTACTTCTACTATAAAGAAAAAATTGCTAACTAAGACTTATATATACCTATATACTATAAACTTAACTATAACTTAAATATTTCATCAACTATAACCTAACTTATACCTATTCTAGCTAGAAAGTTTAGGTATAGGTTAGGTCAATTTAGGGTTTATATTACATAATACTTAACTATAACCTAACCTATACTTATTTGCCACCCTGCGCACGGGCACGTTAAGGTAGCTTAGGCGTGTCACGTAAGGAGTCGTTCACAGCCCCACAGCCCCTAGCCTGCTAAAAACCTCTCTTCTCGTTGAAGCACGTATCCTTGTTGATGGCCTGGCTCCTTATTAATCACGTGTACGTCTGATTGCCTATAACTCCGTGAGGAGTCGTGGAAGGAGTCGTTCACAGCCCCTCGCCCGTTGAAAAGCCTCTCTCCTCGTCGAAGCCCCTAACCCGTTTGAAAACCCATCTCCTCTTTGAAGCACATATCCACATCAATAGCCTGGCTCCTCGTCAATGGCCTAGCTCGTTGATCACGTGAACGTCTGATTGCCTATTACTCCAGAGTCCCTAGTGATTCGGCCCAACAACAAGCCTTCCGCTCACTGGTCAATCACTAGGCATCAGGGCTGTTCTCCAGAGAAAGCTTTTCTTAGTAAAGCGTGTAGTTTTGCCTAGGACGCAGTAAAAGATAGCTTGCGTTGATGCCTCTACAGATTATGAACCTTCGGTGTAGGTTTTCAAACCTTCCGAGGGGGACGGAAGGTTCAAAAGAGGTATAGCTCATTAGCTTCTTGCTCCGGTTGGCTGTTTAGGACTGACATTCTAAGGGGAAAACTACGGGTCTCTGAAATCTATGCTGAATCAGCAGAACCTCAGGCTCCATTTGTACCGTGGAACACCTGCATGACCTTCCTCGAAAGGCTTTGAAGAACAGCCGTATTCATCGCCACAATATTACATTCGACCATGAAACATAAACCGGATCTGGTCAACGCTGAGCAGTCCGTAAGCTGTAGGGTAACACAAGTTTGTTAAGGAATACTGACGTCGAGCCAAGAACAACATCACACTCAGCGTCAACTTCACCAAACCGAATGAACAGCCTACACACCTCCACACACATGCTCAGAAGACTCAAACCAAATCACAAAAACCGCCACCATTAACATCCAGATCACATAAAATGGTATAAACTATCTCAACACTACCTCCCCCCTTGTCCTTCCACCCCACCCGGTCTATAAGGCAAATACGCATCCCCCACCTCCGCCCTAACCTCCGCCCCATCAATTTCCACCGGCGCAACGGGCTTCCTCGCCACCCTCCCCGTGCCATCCAACTCACTCGCCTCCGCGTAATGATACGCCGCATACCCTTGTCGTTCCGCGTCCGTAGCATCAAGTTCAGCGTTCCACTCGGGAGTTTCGCTGAGCTTACCGGGCACAGGAGCGTGTTTCGAGTCTGGCGATGAAGCGTGTGCGGCCACAATGGAGCCAGATGGCCGGGTGTCTTTTTCCTCAGCCATGTTTCGCGCCGCGAGTGCCATGGCTGCTTTCTTTTGTTTCCGGCGGCGGTAGAGCAGGGCGAAGGCGAGGGCGCCGATGATGAAGACGAGTGGGATCACGGTGCCTATTGCGGCTTTGGCGCCTGTTGATAGACCTCCCCCATTGCCTCTAGATCCACTTCCATTTGATGGGCCTGAGCCAGTGTTCGCTGGTGAGTTGCCTGACGCGCTGGCGGATCCAATGTCGCTAGCTTGGTATCGCAGCTGTAAGGGTGTGATGGAAGCAGTTGCGCTCGCGGGCCATTGTCCGGCTGTGTAGACTTTGTTCTCGTTTTCTTCGGCGTCGGCTTCGCCGCATTCTAGGATGGGGAAGGAGCCTGTGGTGCCGACGCGGCAGCCTCCTCGTCCGTCTCCTTCGAAGCCGGGGGGACAGCAGGACAGTCCTGTCTCACCTGATACCCATTGGTCGCCGGTGGTTGCGGTTGAGACTGCGGACCATGATGATGGACATGCTGTGGCGGGGGAGTAGAAGGCTCCGGTGCTTGGATAGACGTTTGGCGTCACCCATGGCATACATGCAGTGTTTATCGAGAAAGGAAGCGGGTCACCATCTTCTTTGCCAAATACACACATCTTGCCCCACTCGACCGCGTTGTTGAGATTGCGCAAGGTTTGGCATGCTGGCGGAGGCGCGGTCTGGTAAGCCGGTGACCATGTTCGGCGATTGCTTCGTGTGTCGGTAGTTGAACTCATTCTTGACGATACGAAGCTGTTTCTGTGACCCAATTTTCGTCAAGAGAGATATGCGATAGATTCGACAGACGGTGGTAGCGAGAAAGTGGAGTTGTGGGAACTACATCCATATTCCCACGAGCCGTAAATAGAACCGACATGATGTATTTCCAAGCCAGGCACAGCCTCGCATTGACCCACTCTTCCCATCTATCCGTTGAACTCCTCCCGCGTTGCAATGTTCATTTCGATGACGGTGTGGCAAGACTAGTAGTTAATAGGTCGCTGGCTTGCACTCCACTCGTGCTAAGCCACTAACACCACTCGGCTGCTGGGCACTTTAGCCCGATGGATATAAGAGTCGTACGCGTTGAAGACTCACGGTAGCAATTGCCGAGTCGTCGGCAGATTGGCGAGACTTGGATCTCAAACTGTGTTGGAAGATCGCTGGTCTTATGCAAACAAAGCCACCGAGATTCGTCAGCAAGAAGTCTGGGGCATTAGTATGAATGTGAACTGTTTATATTATATTGGCTGTTATACATTGTATAATTCCTATGTGATTCGCAGTCCAAGTATTTCAAATATTCGTTGGTGTTGCTGATGTCTTGCAGACCTTTCTACTGCCAGTATCTTTTCCCTTTTATGCCTTGTAACCAGCGTCCGCGAGACTCTCCTTCAAGCTCTGAATTGCGGTGGTGATATCTGGCCTCTCGGGGTCTGTCACGCTCACACCCATGTGTCCAAAGCGGATGTACTTTGTCGCAATCTCTTTGTGCAGTCCACCAGCGAAGATGACGCCCTTCTTTAGCAGATTGGGGAGAACATCGGGAGGAGTGAAGCCGTCGGGTAGGTAGATGGCAGTCATGCCATTTGCCTGGTTTTCAGGCTTGGATGCGAGTTGCTTCAGGCCGAGGTCGGCAACGGCCTTCTTGACCTTTTGTGACGCAGCCTTGTGGTCGGCAAAGCGTTGGTCGAGCGGGCGGGACAGAATCTGCTTCAGCGAGGTGTCGAGCGCGTGTACCAGTTGTGGCGAGGGAGTCGCGAAGTATGATGCCTTCTTTGCCTCGTAGTTTTGCATGACTGATACTGTTAGCCATTGACGCGTCAAACGTGAAAGTTGTACGTACTTGGGAGCCAGTTCTTCCATGAGCCAAAGTAGGAAGTTGGCCTGGTCTTCCTGGCCTTGAATCTCTCAATGGCACGGCCAGAGACCATCATGATGCTGAGACCAGCGGGGCAGCCGATGCCCTTCTGCGAAGCTGTGAGAACAGCATCGAGCTTCCAGTCATCGAAGCGGATCTCCTCTGAGCCGACACTGCAGACACCGTCTACAACAAACAAAGTCTCGGGGCTGACGCGGTGCACAAGCTCGCTCAATGCCTTGAGCTCGCTGAGCACACCAGTGGAGGTATCGACATGGGTGACAGTGAGCATCTTGTACTCCTTCTCCTTCAGCGCCTTCTCAACTTCATCAAGCTGTGGTCGGTCGCCAATTGGCGCCTTCAATTGTGTCGCCTTGACGCCATAGGTCTCGAAGCAGTCGGTGAACGAGTCTGCAAAGTAGCCAGTGTGGAGGACGAGCACCTCATCGCCGGGCTCAACTAGATTGGCTGCGACTTGGTCCCATCCCAGTGTACCGGAGCCGGAGATGACGAAGGGTTGCGAGGCGGGATCGGTGGTCTGGAAGAGCTTGCGCAAGTTTTGGAGGACCTCGCTGAAGCAGTTTACAAAGGGCTGGCCGACATGTGATTCACTGCGGGTCTGTCAGTACAAGCTGTGCGAATCACGGAGCCGCCAGAGGTACCTGTAGTGGCTCATAGAGTCAAGGACTGCATCGTCAAACTCAATTGGCCCAGGAATGAGCAGCGCAGGGTGTGGTTTCTGGTTTGATCGCGACATCTTCTTGGGTGGTTCCGGTTCTGGCTCTGCCTTCGTTACTACTGGTGGTTCAATCTTCTTTTCTTGAGGCTTTGGTTGTGGCTTCGGTCGCTTTACGTTTCCGCTTCCGTCTTCAAATCGCGAGCTTCGTTCGGTGGAGAAGGGGGTGTTCAGTTCGAGGAACGGCTTGGAATCCAAGTGCTTGGAGATCTGATCTATGCGGGAGCGCGCATTGGTTCGTGACGTCGGTGCCATGCGGGGCAACAGCCGGCTGTTCACGGAGTTCAGGAGCAATCTTTGACCCCGGGTCCACATCCGGTGCTCGGAGACGTGCGATGGGCGTGGAATTGATCGAGTGCCTCGGGACACGTGCTGCTGCAGACGCAATGGATCTGGAGAGCAATTGGAGATGCTGCGTCTCACTGAGGCCTGCAAAACGAAATTTGGCTACTCTTTGATTGGATGATTCTTCGATGCCTTGTCAGGGGCAATTATTGTCAGGCCAAATCTCACGGTCCATCCAGCGGACTTTTGATGGCTACTTAGTCAGGCTATATGCCACCGGCTGGTCAATGAGCGCCGGTAGCGGATCGGATATGAAACTGTCATCACGTGGTCGAAGCTTTGCAAAACGGTCGCGCCAGGGTCCGCGCGCTAGGCCGCGAACCATTCCTAGCAAGGGTGTTTGTTATGATTATGATCCACTCTGGGATCTCCGCAGCAGCCAGTCGAGCATCAACACCCCCATCACCATTCACGCCTGTTCGTCACATATGTCTTGGTCCAAGCAGTATCACTCGCAATCAACATAAACCCGAGCTTCCTAGTGAAATATACTTCACCGCGACAATGCGCCTCACGCGCGCCGCACAGCGCGCCCAGCAGCCGGTAGAGGAGCCCACCCTCGACGCGGCCGATGCCTCCGAGGAGCGCAGCCCTTTGAACGAGATCACGCCCAATGCATCGCCCGAACAGGTGGACCATGCAGAGGATGCGCCCAAGAAGACGCTCACAAGAACCAAAAGCAAGAAAGGCGGAAAGAAGGGCGCAAGGGCCAAGAAGGGCAAGGCAGTAGAGGAGGAGGAACAGGTGCCTGTCGCCGACGAACCTCTAGCCGTAGACGACGCTGCGGTTGAAGCCGCAGTTGAAGAGCCGATTGCAGAGCCTCCACAAGGTGGGCGCTCTATGTCCCATGCCCCTCTCACCACCACTAACACCACGTCAGATGCAGCGCCAACTGCCGTTGAGGATGAGCGCCCCGCAAGTCCAGCGCCGAAGGCTGTCCGCCTCACTCGACGTCAGCTAGCAAAGCAGGAGGAGGAGATGCGACAGTCGCAGCGCGCTCAATCTCCGCCTCGGCCTGAACCTGCGACGGAAGATGTCGCACAATCTCCAATTGAAGAAGCGCATGAAGAGATTGCCCAGAAGGAAACCAAAGAAGAAACCACTACAAGAAATGACGAAGAGATCGCGGTAGAGACTCAGCCAGAAGAGACAATTGAGCCTGCAGAGTTACCACAGGATGAAATCGCCGCGCCAGAGCCAGAACTACACCAGCACACCGACACAGTCGAGCCGGGTCCAGTGACCGAGGATACGAGCGCTGGAGCGGAAGCAATTGAGGTTGCCGAGACAAACGAGACGCAAGCTCCCGAGTTGGCAGAAGCCCAAGAGACACAATTATTGGCCCAAGACCCCAAAGAAGCCGAACACATTGAACAGGAATCTGCTACGCCGTCAGTCGAAGTCACGTCCGAGCCGGAGCCAAAGAGTCTTGCAACCGAGAGGCCGACCGAAGTCACAAGCACACCAGCATCAAGTCGTACACCGAGTAGGCGCACCTCACGAAGCGCTTCCAAATCACCTATGCGCATTGAAGAGTCGATAGAGGCCTTGGACGCGCTAGAAGAAGCATTGGAAAATGTTGGCAAGGCAGTTTCGCACTTTGACTCGTCGACTGAAGAAAAGTCACCGCGCAAGAAGGCCTTTCCAAGAGATGCCACCGCTCCAAGCGCACGCGCAAAGACGCCACGAAAGACACCCGTGGCCGCGAGAGTCTCAAGAGCCCCCAGTGCGGCTCCCAAAAGCATGAAGCCGGCGGCTACTGGGATCGCGCGTGCCTCCAGTGTTCGTGTCGCACCTGTGAAAGACATCAGGAAAGATTCAACAGAGACGTTCGATTACCTAGCATCAAAACGCCGGCCTGTCAGCGTATCTTTTCCTACGCCTCCGCCTCCGCCGAAGGGACGAGCTCCGACTAAGCCGACTTTCCAGCTATCCAGCGAGACGGTAGCCGCGAAACTGAAGGCACAGAAAGAGGAGCGATTGAAGCGGGAGGCGGAGAGAGAGGCAGAGGGCGCGCCAGTTAAGCAACGGCCGATCAGCATGCCTCCAGTCGCGAAGTCCACCAAGGCTCCTACCAAGGCGAACTTCCAGCTCCCAGGCGAGGCGATTGCGGCCAAGCTCAGAGCACAGAAGGAAGAGCGAGAAAAGCGAGAAGCCGAGAGTGCGCAAGGACCACAGCCAAAGGCTCGACCCGTCTCAATTTGCATGCCACCACCAACAGTGAAGTCCACAAAGCCTCTCACAAAGGCCACCTTCCAGCTTTCAGGAGACGCAGTGGCTGCCAAGCTCAGGACGCAACGAGAGGAGCGACAAAAGCGCGAAGAGGAAGCCGAAGCCGCAAAGAAAGCCGCTGCCTCCAAGCCTCGACCGACAATCCGCAAACCAGTCGCCTTACCAACTCGAGCAGCACCAGGTGTAACAATCCCACCTCCACCGCCTAAATCCGACTCCCTCCAACCCCAACCACCTCAGCGCTCCACCTCCCTCGCCAGCAAACGCAGCAGCATCCAGCTCTCCCGCTCCGTCTCCGACTCCACGAATGGGTCGAACCGCAACAGCCTTCTCATCGCCAAGGCAACGGTCACGCCCGTCGATGCGGTGCAGCAGAAACTCAAGGGCAGAGAGGTCTTCAATAGAGACAAGATGGAGAAGGAAGCCAAGGAGCGCGAGCGCAGGGAGAAGGAAGAAGCAGCCAAGCAAGCGAGAGCACAAGCAGCAGAGCGGGGACGCATTGCGTCTCGAGAGTGGGCGGAGAAGCAGAGGCGGAAGATGATGGATGCGGTGCGGTCCAAGGCGGAGGCTGCGTGATTGTGCTTGATTCTTGTCGATTTTTGTTTCTTTTGGATACTCGGATTCGGGCGCGGGGTTTCTTGTGCACACTCTTTTTTGGGATGGGTCTGGTGTTCTTCTTCCTTGTTCACCACTCTTCTAGGGCCAGTTCTGGAGTTTTAGTTTTGGATACCATCTGTCCTTTTTTCTCTAGCGTCTTCACTGCGGATCAGATATATATCCTCAGGCGTACTTTTCTACATACTTACCGTCTCTACTGTCAGTACAGTCAATATGGTCATTTCAATACTTTGCACATTCCACCCATCATGCCCGCACCAATGTCCTTACAATTCCCGCATCGTGCTCTCCACGCTCATCCAATGGCTCCGGCGGACATGCCCGACACTTTCGCGCCTAAAGTAGTTTCTTCGGCCCTTTCGTCGACCGGGCAGCGCGCCGTGTCCCAATGCAGTAATTTCGAGCTCGAGGTGTGGATTGCAGTGGGAATGTTGGCCGAAACCTGTGAGTTGAGGTGGATGGCTGTGTGCGGGTGTTGGAAACGCGCTATTCCGGCCACTCGCTGGGGGATTTTCTGATTAAACTATTGGACTGGCTGGGCGGACGCAACTTGAAAACTTCGTGTACTGTGTGCCTAGTAATGAGTATTCCTAGAGGTGGGTGTTGCAGTGTCACAGTGGTGGCGAGGATGTATGATGCAGGCTTTTGCTGTGATTGGTTGGGAGCATGGAGGCGTCTGGCTTCTTTGCTCGATGGTACAATGCAGGTCGTCTGATAATTGTTCTACCAGGGGCGAAGGTAGGTTTGCCACAAAGCTACTGAATCTCTGGTAGCTCAGTGCTTTCTAAACGTGTTCATGACTGTGCAAGAAATTCGAGTACTCTTCCGTCAGATACCAAGCTCTTTCGGTGAAATCCTTTCGGCGAAGCTGAATAGATGTAGCATCGAAAAAAATAAGACTTCTCCTCACGGCATTTGCTTGCGATTCATCCTCTCACATTATCTCGAACCTCGTCGGGTCATCTCGGACAATGACATTCAAATATATCGATACCTGTTCCTGGGGTTAGAACAAACCGGGCACAGTCCCACGCAGGGCTCTGATCGGCAATCATTACCCTAATACAGAGAGTGGTGATGGAACGCCGAGCGTGAAGCGAACGCCTGACTCGAGAGGCCTCCCACCACCAAGATATCGCTTAATGTCAGTGTTGCCAATCCTGAAGTGTGGCTCGATACTGCGTCCAACTCCAGCGTCCGGCATTGGTGGAGCGAATTAGGCCCAATTTCAATTATCTCGGTCCAGTGCTCCGAGCAAAAGCAAATAACGTCGAGATCTTGATCTTGACGCCATCACCGCACAAAACCGATAAGCGAGGTGTGCTGATAGGTCGTGGGTGCTTGTTCCGGCAATTACGCACAGTTGGGCTTGACGCTTTCCTTGCTTTTCAGCATTGGGCGTGCCTACCCGCCTATATGTGAGGAGGGAGGGGGTGCCTGACGATAAGAAAAGAATGCCAGAATGTGTAGCTGTCATTCGCCGGCAGATCAACCCATGCTCACTCGATGAGATGAGATCGGGAACTCGGGTTGAGCCGAGCATGGCGTGAGTAGAAATGTATCTGAGACAGGACAGATGTCACACTGCGTCGCTTCGTTCCGAGCTGTGCAATCCCGAGACGATGATCACGGTCAATTTTGGGTAAATCCTGTTGCAGCCTGCATTGACGACGCAATTTGAGAAACCTGTCCCTTTCCCAGAAGAACGTTGTACTGCGTAAACGAGGTTACCATGACCAGTAGACACCGCTCTTTGCTAGAGGCCGTCCGGAAATATGTCATGACACGCAGAGTTGACTAGAGAAGAGCGCTTGGGCGTCATGAGGGCCTTGACGAAACCTCGTGGCCTCAAGCGATGCAGACCGCCCTTATGGTCGAGCAACTGCGAACTCTGACGATCACACATGATCTTCCCGTCGCCCACGATACCGATTTCGGGCCTTCACGACTTGCTAAACGCCTCTGCTATATGGCGGTCAAGCACCAGTAACCTAAAGCGGCTGTGAGTTCGCATGCTCGAGTCGGCGTTGTTCTGGCCAGCGGTGTTCGGAGCTCCTTGAGCCTCAAAGAGCCGCATGGCGCCATAGGCATTGCGTTTTGGGGCGGTAAGGCAACCGTCGGGGACCGCATGAGGTCTCCGGGCAGTGGGCAAAGTTCTGTTGAGATGCGCGTGAAACAGGCACAAAGCGCAAAACGAGGATGCGCTGGCGTTTCGTGCCTGGATATCCCGCAACTGCGTCTCGATCCAAACTACCGCCTCATCGTGCCCGGCGCATCGGTCCTTTGGTGATCTTTGAAAAAACTCTTCACAGCGTCGTGCTTGCGGATCGCCACGAATATCGCAAATGCAATTGCATTGCGATGGCGGCAGCTTGAGCCGAGCCAGTGTTCCAATCACGGAGTCGTCCGGTCACGCCTTGGTGGTCAGAGTGTCGAAGGACGCCTCGGTCACACAAGCGACGACTAAACACCGAACAGGCCTGAAGTCTGAGCTGATGACATAACGCGCCCGGTAGTCAGGGATGGCCTCAAGTGTCGTGATTGCTCGGTCGGGGCCCGAAGTTGATTTCCGGCAAACAAAAACATAGGGCAGTCATCTCCGGCTTGGTGTAGTGGAGACGATGTTGAGCAGCACGGATATAGCTCGATAAGCGATAACAGCAAGGCACACCGTTCAGGAGTCGCGCTGGAAAATTCTTCAGACGAGGCTGCACGGGATGATCAGAACGCACCACGACGGGGAGATACGAGAGGACGGAGGACGGTCGCTCATGTTGCGCCATATCATCCGTCGCATGACGAGACCAAGCAGCGTGGGATATTTGCTTTTGCTTGGGGAGAGGAGAGGATGGTCCCTGCACTTGCCATCCATGTCATTCGTTCCGTGCCGTCACAGATGCGGGGAAGCCAAGCGTGAATGGCCCACTTGCACCGAACTTGGCCAGTTGCGTGCTGTGAGCGATGAGCGTGCAGACGTGGCTGGCCAATACGCTGAGGCCCTGCAGGCGCTGGTGGAGGGGTGGAGGGGCGTTGCTGCAGTGGAGCGTACCAAACGTCTCTACCACCTACAGGGGACCGGCGGGCGATGCACTTTGGGGGTGCCACGCCGCCGGGGACAGGCTCTCTTGTGTGTGTTGGGAAGCTCAGTGTGCTGCCCATCATGCAATTTGCCTCCCAGCGGCCTTTCTTCGTCGCAAAGCCATGTCTGTTGGGCGTGGCTGCTTTCTGGATCGCCGCGAGGAAAAATCTTCCTGGTCTGTGTGCTGCAATAACACCTGTGTACAGTGAGACTGTGCCGCGTCTCACGGTTCTGGAATTGCGCCTTCTCGCTTGCAAGAGCTGAGAGTCTAAGGGCGCCACAATGATAGGGGCGGACAGAGTGCTGGGCCTGGAGCGCATCGCTGTGGAGCGTCCCGAGGAGGTCCCGAGAAGGTTTGTGGGTGGCTGCGTCTCGTGGGACAGACAAGTGCGGGAGTCGATGATGCACTTTGCAGCCATCACGTGTATTGAGGGGTCCGGCGGGCGATCTGCAATGACAGTGAGACATGTCGGGGGAGGACAGGCGGCTGTGGAAGGCCGTCATGCAGACATGCAGACATCTAGTGGTGGAGCACGAAGAGGGGAAGTGTGTCATGCTATCGCCAGGCACTGAGCCTGGTCGTTCCTTCCATTTGATGGCGCCGCAGCGACTACGTAGTTATGGTATGAGACGAATTGCGGACGCGTCATCAACGACGTCCCTGAGAGTGAGATGAATTTCCATCCGTAAAAGCTTCCAAGCTAAAAGGTGATGCCGCCAATCACCTGACCTGACCTGACCGCGAATGCTTCCTAGAACCCATGCAGCCCTTGCTGCAGCTATGTGATATCGAACAGTAAAGAGACAGTTATGCTTTTAGTCGTACACCGCCGAACATGTAACAGCGTGAACATATGAGAAAGTACATGTGCGAAACGTAGTGCTGACGCTTCCGGTGGTATGCAGTAAGAAACTCCGTGAGCCACGCCGGGCTTTGTGCGGGCAACTGCCAGACACAATGCAGGTGAGAATAAGCAGAAAAAGTGACAACGCCTGCTGGTCATGATCGTTCAGTCCGGAGTAGGACGTCGTCTAGTACTGGGTGTACCTTCGCTTGAGGTCTCGTGTTTGGTCGAACGATCGCATGTAGCTGTTCAGCTGACTTGCCGCCTGTTGCGAGACGCCGGCTTGGGTCTGTGACGAGGCTGATGCAAGTGATGACCTTGACGAAGAAGGAGTCAGGCTTCGCTGTGGTGCTGCTGGCCTTGGTGCTGCTGTGGGTGGTGCGAAGTAGGAGCCGTTGGCAGTCGGATAGTAGTGGTAAGGGCCGGCTGGTGCAACATCGAATCCTTTGGACCTTGATGGCGCCTTGTACGCCGAGAAGTTGACTGCGGGTGGGAGGTAGAAGCCGTTGCTGGAACTTGATGTGGACGAGGCCGAGGAAGAGAGTTGTGACGTTTGGGTGCGACCAGCCTTCTCCAGATCTGCTAGCCTACACGCCTGGCTGCAGTACGCAGAAGGCTCAGACATCTGGCGGTCGCACGAGAGGCAGTAGTCGTTGCTCCAGGAAGCCATTGTAGAGAGGATGTGAGAATGTTGGATCGAATAATCGATCCGGGGAGGTGATATATAAAGTAGTGGGAGCTGACGAGGCAGTGCTCAGCTGAGTGGAGGATGATGTGACGGATGCTGAGCTGTGGGTATGGTGGTCGATAATATTCGCCTGAAGAGAGACGTGAGGGTGTTGAGCAAGATGTAAAGTTTCAGATTAGAGTCATGAGATGGGTATTTGAGCTCTTGAGCGGAAGGGCCGTGTGGAGACGGGAGCGAGGAGGATAGTCTTATGAACCGTGCCTGAGGTGCACCCGGGCGGACAACCTTGTTGGCTGTCCCCACGCTAACGCGTCTCCACAGGTGAAGTGAGCAGGGGCCCACACGTCCTCTGCATAGCCAAGCCCCAGGCTAATCATTTTCATTGCCGCTGGGAGCGCGCGAGCTGTCCTGCACCTGTCTGCACCCCTCTCGCTCAAAGCGCTCTAGCCGGCTTGCGCATGAGCGTCGTCTGCGTTCGCATGCCATTCGCTGCGACATGGATTTGCTTGGCCACTGCGGTGCTGCCAGCTCAACGCGAGATTTGCGCTCTTCCTGCAGCATCTGAGGGCCTCTTGAAATGGTGCCGATGCGATGCAGACTGCAGAAGGGTTTTCGGCCGCGGTGCCATGGCAGGCAGCTAGATAGTGAAGACACCATCGCTGGAGTGGGTGACACCATGAGCAACCTCTTCATGACGAAATTCGCTAGCAGTCATCTGCCTCATCCGGCGCAGGGCAGGCCAGATGACTGACAAGCAAAGGTAGGTACAAGCCCGCCTAATCCAGCATGGCATGAGTAGAAAGGGAGGCAAGATATCGGTTTCATAGGTCATCTGCTGGACGCACCACTCCCCACGCAATCCTGGACTACGCTGTGCGGCCATCCGTGGATCTTCGTCTATCGTCCGGCTCATACACAGTAGTTGCGCGTTGCGCGTCGCGCGATATGCTCGTCTTGGGCTACCGCTATTCTTCACAGTCGCTGCAGCAGACCAGCTTCCGTTATCTTCGTCATAATGTCGAGCGAAGGCATGATCGCTTGGTACAGGCACGTCTGACATCGGCCCCTGCAGGTCCTGTCACTCTCGTCGTAAGCACCGTATTGCGCGCACAGCACAGGGAATGCTGAGTGAGGAAATCCAGCCTCGTGTGCTTCATGGGCAGGAATGTTGTCAGCCATACTGTTCATGCGCCGTTCCTAGCCGAAGTATACCAGCTTGAACTAGTATACAGCTGATGCGTGTCGCGCCTCGGTAAATGTCGTCGTTATCAGTTTGCGCTTGAAGTGGTCGCTCGCTCGGACAACCATTTGCTCCGGGGCTGTCCGCAAAAGAATGCCGACACCAACGAACGGCTCTCTATGTTGCATGAACCGATCTGCGCTTTGGTCGCTCAAATGGAATTGCCGCCATGTGTGCGTCCAGTACAATTCCTCAACACAATCTGCGTCCACTTTCCTTGACGGTCAACCCATTCGTCGCCGCAGCCGCGCAAAAATTGCTATCCGAGCGCATGGAGGACCTCAAGAGTCAAGACTTCGCTTGCCGCTCAGCGCTTCAAGCGACCCTTTCAATCGGTTGTGCACAGGCCGACCTGGACCCTCTCTTGGGGCCTGTCCTCTGATTCAGGCATCCAGCGAGGGCGATGTGCTTCTGATCGGTCGTCAGAACGCCAGTTCAGTCACGCTTTCTCCTAGATCCAACAACCCGTGGACTGCGTGATAGGCTATTGACTTCTCCAAGTACTAGTGACGCCTCGCCCAGCACGCTGATGCTTCCATGCATAGCAGCAACAAGCGAGATAATCATCAAGCTTGCTCATTCACTGTGTTACCAACCAGAGCAGGCAATTGAGCTGCAGCTCGCATCGTCCAGCAGGGATCTGCAGGGTGTTCTTGTCCGACGCCATTGAGTGACTTGCAGATGCACTTCACGTCGCCCGTTGCATCGACGATTGTATTGGCTGTGCCCGCCCCCACGTTGCTTTTTCCAAGGTCCAGCACGACACTTGAAGTCAACGGCGGAGTCGTCATGGCGACATTGGCAGGAACAGGAACTAGGCTTACCCTGTTCATCCTTATCTTGAACTCCATCGCGTGTGACCAGGGACTGTGATATCTGCGATTCCTCCTCTACTCATGAGCTGCCCACTTCGTATTGCAACACAGACCCCTCTCTTAACCGAACCGAGCTCCAAAAACAGATGCTGGCAACCGTGCGGGACAGAGCGGGCCCAGTTCTCCACCTACCACGGGCACCATTCTCGTTTCGACTGCGATTGCGACATGTCAAGAGCAGGGACCATAAACATCGCAATATTCATGCAAACGTCTCCAGATGCGACACACGGCTTCGTGCAGATCCCCTAGCTCTTTCGATACATGGCATTGCAATGCTCCCAAGCCTTGTGTCTTCGTGCTACACAATCAAAGCGACATGACCAAGCTCTGTTCCTTGCCGGAGTAGACATCAATTGCGCCCGACAGTCTGGACCTCCTCCGCCTCCTAAATTGTACAGTGCTCATCCCGCGCTGCATCATCTTGCAGCCTATAGCCCTGCTATCGACAGCGAACGGCATGCACCGTATATTGCCTCATCCTCTGGGGACGTCGGAACACAACTTCCTTGGCCGCATGGAGCTTCATGCAGAATGCTCAACTACAGATAACATACAGGCAACATCCCATACACACAGGGACGGCGAACTCGTGTTACTGAGCAGCAATCTATCGTGAACGATGCACGGTGCGTGACATATCTCGTTTCGGAAATCAATAGGCAACCGCCTCGCCTGAGGACGGCCTGATCCATGAGGTCCATCTCCCGATTTTATGGGCCCCAAATCGGCCCGTCTAGCGGCTACAGCGGTGGAGTGAGCGGCTGGAGCCTTTGTCTACGGAAACAGGAGCGGTCCGCTGAAGGGCTATCCCTTGCAGTAAAATCCCAAGATGCGCAAAGTCTCAAGCAAACTTTCATCATGCAAGGAGAACTTGAAGCATTTTCTAACTCAGCCTTCCACGTTACGATGAGCTCAGATTTTAGCGTCGTCGGTTGACGACCCGTGTAGGCGAATCCTCATTTGAGCGCGACCACCATATTTCGCTAGGTAAGCAATTGTGAATGCGCACCAGGCAGCAGCGAAATTCGTGTCCGCTTTGCACATGCGCGAAGTAATCTAATAGTCTCTAGGAGCACACTAGGACGTTTGTGAAGAAGCCTGAATATCTTCAGCGCTGTGAGATATCTCGCCTACTCTTGCAAAAGTTTTTAAATATATCCAGGCTATCTCTTAACCCTTCTCGCTGGGTGGACGCGGACAGGAATTTTGCCGGAGCCTGGTGTGCGTCCTAATTACAGCATCGGCCGTTTGCTTCGCAACAATAGATCGAACATGATGATCGTCAAACTTACCCCAACGGTGGATCGCCTCGCTTACTCAAGTGCTCAGAAAGACCTCACCTCATCTAAAACTAACACATCAAATCCACTAATCCAGACATCGCGCCGCACCAATTGAGCATCCAGGCACGTAATCGATAGTACCCTTACAATGAGTGCGTCACCGTATAGCGCAGAGCTCCAAATTGCTCTCGATGCAGTCCACGCAGCATCTCTCATCACCAAATCCGTGCTGCGAGAGCTCCAGAACAACGTTGGTGCTGAAACAAAGGCCGACGACTCGCCCGTTACCATTGCAGACTTTGCTGCGCAGGCATTGCTCATCTCCGTGCTGCATGCTGTGTATCCTGACGACAGCTTCATTGGGGAGGAGAGTGCTGATGCGCTGCGCCAGAATCAGCCGCTAGCGGACCGTGTTTGGCAGCTTGTGCTACGCGCCAAAGAACATGCTTATGCACAGCTGGATGGAAAGAGCGAGTTGCAGGGCGCTCCCAGAGCACAGACGTTGGCTTTCCCCGCAAGCAAAGAGGAGATGTTTGAGCACATTGATCTAGGCGGGAAAGGAGAGGTCACGGGACAGGGGAGAGTCTGGGTCATGGATCCGGTGGATGGCACCGCGACTTTCATGCAGGGGCAGCAGTACGCTGTTGCGCTCTGTTTGCTCGTCGACGGCGTGCAGCAAGTCGGCGTCGTTGGATGTCCGAACCTCGCGTTCAATGTCCGCGGCTCACTGCGAGAAACTCCGATCCACGAGGACCAGGTCGACACGACTGGCTACGGCGTTATTCTCTCGGCTGTCAAGGGTCAAGGCACATACGTCCGCTCGATGCAAGAGTACCGTCTTGGACAATCACGTCTTGTCGACCTGACGTCCCTCCCGCCGAAATCTCTTCCCGACCTAAACTTCGTCGAAGCTACCATCGGCAAAACCTCGCTCTCGCAGACCGAGCATCAATCCGTCGCGGAAGCCCTCGGTTCCAGCTGGCCTGGCACCGTCATTTGGTCACAGCAGATGAAGTACGTCGCACTCACCCTCGGCGCTACAGACGTGCTAGTCCGCATCCCCAAGACAGCAGCGCGATACACATACATCTGGGACCACGCGGGCGGGCACATTCTGTATGAAGAAGCGGGTGGGATGATCCGGGACTTCAACGGCAAGGCGATTGACTTCGGGCGCGGCCGCCAGATCAAGGGCGAGGTCAACTTCGGCATGATTGGCGCCATGCCTGCGGTCTTCGGGGACGTCGACCGGGCCGTCAAGGACGTCCTCGGACGACGAGAGGCTTCATGACAACGTGATTGTCACGCATGGCTGCCCCCGAACGTTTCACCCGGGCGCGCGAAGGATTTGCTTGTACCACGCTGTCGTGGTGACACAGAGCCTCACCGGATTGTTACACCATGTGGGGTAAGTCGGAGGACGAATAGGATAGCATGAGCCTCAGCTGAGATACAGGGCTGCCCGCTTACAAAAGTGGAGCGGCCTTGTCTTGCATGGCTACACAAGAATGAGAAAGAAAGATATGCGTGGGATTTCCAGAGTCTAAGCCATGGACGTTTTCACCTGCATGGTGTGTGTAACTGTGGACAAGGCAGTGTCCTTTGGATAACTGACCCATCCACTCAAAGTGTTCGATTCATCCGAGGATTTCATGCCCTATACTGTGACACCAATTCTTCCCCAATTGCCTGCACGCCGTCCCTGCTGGGCCGCGTGAAGCCGGCACCTATCCTGCCGCCTATGATACACCACCGCCATTTTTCCGAAATGACACCTTTTCCACCGCGACGTTCTCGTTGCCTTCTGCGTCTTTCCTTAGCTGGTAGACGTAGAGCACAAGCACATCGCCCTGGACCTAAGTCTGAGGTTAGCAGGCGAGGTCCTCCAAATTGCATGTTGGGCCAGAACTCACATCCATGAGCACAAAGCTCGGTGTGGGGTCTTCGTCCTCCGTCCACCATCCCGTCGTCATAGCCCCCGTTGCACTCCCCGGGTTCACGAAGAACTTGCCTTCCATCTCATATGCCTCGAACTTGTGCGTGCCGCCCCAGAGCAGCACGTCGACGTCCATTTGCCGTGCCGCAATCAACAGACTATCACCATCGCCTGGTGGTATGATGGTATGCCCATGTGTGAAGCCTATACGCAGCGAACCGTGTGTGACGACCTTTGACAGCGCGAGGTTGGGAGCTTCGACGTCGAAGTCGCCCTTGACAATTTGTAGATCTGGCGCGATGGCGCGCAGGAACTCGTAGGTTTCGCGGTCGGTAATATTGCCCAGGCACAGGATCTGGCCAATCTTTCCCGGCGCAAGGAGCTTCTTGAACTGTTGACGTGGTAAGTGGCAGTGCCTGTGGGGAGCTGGCTGGTGTGCTGGCTGAAGCGTACCTTTGTCGGTATGTCCTAGGAAGCCTGTAAGTTTGTGAGGTCTAGCATTATTCATGTGATTCTGCAGAAGCTTACTGCTGCTCTGTCTGGTATGAACAGGTCGCCGAGGACCAGCACTAGTCGCGACGCCATTGTGGCTGCCTAGTCGGGAGCTTTGGAGGTTTGAACAAGTGTACACCCGAGCGCAGTGTTGATCAAGGCACTCTGACAATTATGAGTGTCTTGTCAAAGCTGTAGCGGCAGATGGCGAGGTTGCGACGTGGAGTTGTGGTTGAGCTTGGGGAAGCTGTCGGGAAGGCGGTGGCAGAACCCTGCGAGCTTGGCAGGAACGATGATGCAACTTGACTCTCCACACGGACATGTCGACCACAACAAGCACAACACTGTTCGGAAATTCGAACCTGCAAATCTCTGGCACTACCGAGTGCTTCTATCGCGATTGTAGATGGATTAAAAGCTTGGTCTTGGCGGAAGACCTGGTTCTCTGGAAACATGTCATGACGTCCATCCAAGCACAGCGACTTCTCAATGTTTCTGATTGAGGGCATCTGAGCCATTCTCCAACAGCAGAGCTGACTGGGTTTGATACAAATCCGGCAAGCACAAATTCTTTGTGTTCTTTCAATTCGCCATCTTCTGAGCCTCGATTGCCCTGGTTGTTACGATTGCTTCATGCATCACACTGGTCAGAATAGGCGTCGCAGCAGTCAATTGTCAATCTTCACAACTCGGATGCACTACCGAGGGGCCTGTCTATCCTTCAAGCTCTTCCGTCATTATGAAAGATCTCCGTAAGTATCTAGGCCATTCCAGCATGACGTATAACACGCGCGTGTTCCTCAAGGATCTACAACGACAAACAGCATGGGAATGCCCAACTCCAACATCCTCGGCAGATGGACCGCATTTAACGTTCGGCGATCATTTATCGCGATCAATCACGACAAATCAACGGTACTTTCCAGAGCACATCGCTCCAGCCCGTCGATCACCGACCATCCACTCACGATTTTCCCTCCTGACTCTACGCTTGAGAAAGATAGAGCTCATTACACTAAGAAAACCACGCTACCAAACCCTCCATCACATGCCCACCTCCATGTCTCGCTACACCTGCCTGCACTATCACATCGCATCTCCCACTAGCACCATGCACCACATGATGTTGTACATGGGCTTTCCCGCGATCTCCGAAGGCGTGGGGGGAGGGATCACATGGTCGCATCTATGTTTATGGCTTACCATGCGCTAAGGGCTAGCCTGGCACTGCGAACATGATCTTCGGGGCCGAGTAGAGAACACGTGGACTTGAGTATCGCTGATGGTTTCTGGGAGTTTATTTGCTGTGTGAGAGTGGATGACGCTATGAGCAGCGAGAAGTAATGGGTGAGGTGATATTGGAGATGATTAGAGCGAATTATTTCGGTGAAGCGGAAACATGTGTTTGCCTCGGATGTATTGGACACATGATAGGCAAGTGACAGTATGGCTGTGGGTGTGTTACATCCGAAGGAAAACGAGGCGAGTTCTCGATAGCTAGACTGCCGACAGATCCAGGCTTGTGATCTAGCATTTAAGCACGTTCGAAAATTTACAGCGTAGCTCACATATCGGTTCGTCGGCTTCTGCATTGTTGTCAATGAGCACGTCGGCAAGATAGTGTAGTTTTCTCGTCTCTTATGCTGCGGCATCTCCAAAAGAGTACTTACTGAGCGTGCAGTCGGAATGATACTGATGAAGGGCAGTGCGGCGGGGAAGTATCTGTGATGTCACGTTTCTTTGAATCATGCAATCGAAACGAAGCAGTATTCATATGCAAAGTGGCATCTAAAGCCGAACTGGTTGCTTTGATACTGCAGCTCATCACCATGTCCTCATTCTACCCTGTCGAATCTCACTGGGCCTGGCAATATGTCATAGTTAATGATCTATCAACCTGGAAGGCTTCAAATCTTTTCCAAGGGCAGGACGCAGAGCGATAATTGACTAGAGACGATCGCGCTATGAAATAATTCTTCCAAGCAGCAGTGATCAGGGTCATGTTTACTCCAGAGGACGCTAGGCCGTTGCATGTAAGCGAGATACTCTTACCCGCTGTCCATGAGTATGTGGCGGTGCAACAGGAGCTGAGTCTGAGACAATCGAACTCAGCGCATGTCAGGAGGCCGCCCAATTGATTTCTCATTGAGGACACATGCAGACGTCTTTTATGTGATCATCACTGATCCGCGCTAGGCTGAAATGTATCGTGCTATTCAGTTGTTCTCCCATACCACAGGTAGTAGGCATGATGCATTTATCGGCAGCATGAATTTGCAGTTCTATCTCCTTACCCCTAAAGAGGCGTTAAAAGAACTTGATTTTGATAACTCGCTTACAGACTCCAGATTCATGTCTGTGGCGTTGAAAAAATCTCCACCCTTCTAGCGCTAGAGCACGGGCTCGGACTCCCCTCGATCTGGAAACAGCAACGCAAAATGGTCCCTCGATCACGATGTTTGCAGATGAAAAATCCTTTCGCGCAATGAATTGTTTGGATACGGGATACTTCTTTTGTCGTGTTCGTAACTTGCGAATTGCGAGTCTACTACACCTTGACTACATGCAAAGGAACATCTGTAGGCGGCATAACTACACTAAATTTTACAGCCGCACTTTAGCTTGATCTAGTGACATGTCTGCTCCAGCCGTTCTGGAACAGCAGCAAAGAATCGTGAAAAAAGCCTCTGCCACATCTGGTTCCATGGCTTGCGCGTACCGCTATTAAACGAGCAGCCCCCGAAAAGAATCTGAGCAGTCCTATTCACTTTCCGTGAAGCATACATTCGTTTTCAGCTCGTTTCTTTACGCTCTTTTGCCAACATGTTGTCTCTTGCACTCCTTGTTCTAAGTTCGCTCCTTAGCCTCACGGAAGCCCAGTCCAAACCTATCTCAAAGAATGCACGCTGTGGTAGCGCATACAGAGGCCAGACGTGTCAGGGATCAACTTTCGGAAACTGCTGTTCCACTTATGGGTACGTTGCATCTTTTCTTGACAAATGCAACGACTGACATTAGATTTGTAGATACTGCGGGAGTACCAGTGACTACTGTGCGCCGCAAAAATGCCAAAAGGACTTCGGCTCATGCAATGGAGCGCAGGTGTCTTCTGTCCGTGGAACCACTCTGAGCTCTGTCATCGTTCCTGCGAATCCTAGTCTTGCGTCTGCTGTTCGAGAGACGGTAACGGTCACTTCTACTTTGACACCTCCGGGTCAGAGAATTGTCACTGTTACTTTGACGCCGTCGGCGGTCCCTGCGGTCACCGTTACCTCAACTCAATCAGGAGCAGCTGCAATTACTGTTACCTCGACTCAATCAGCTGCACCTGCAATCACTATTACCCTGACGCCTTCAGCTGCTCAAATCGTGACAGTCGTTGGAACGCCATCTCTCCTCCCGGCGTCTACGATTACTGTCCTCGAAACTCTAGCTCCTCTAGCCGCGTCGACAATTACGGTCGTTACAACCGCGGCTCCTCTGCCTGCGTCGACGGTCCTTCAGACTGTTGTTGAGACTCTACCTCCTCTGGCGGCGTCCACAATTACTGTCGTTACAACTGCAGCGCCTCTGGCACCTTTGACTGTTACCAGCACTGAAACTGCGCCTCCACTAGCAGCGTCTACAGTCACCCTTATTGAGACTGCGCCTCCTCTGGCACCTCTGACTGTCACTAGCATTGAAACCGCACCTCCATTGGCTGCATCAACAATTACGGTCATCGAAACCCCTGCTCCATTGGCAGCATCAACAGTCACTGTTGTTGAAACGCCGTCTCCTTCAACACTGACCGTTATTCAATCTGCAACCCCACTTGCAGCATCGACAATTACCTTGACCGAAACTCCTTCCCCCTTGGCAGCATCAACGGTCACTGTTGTTGAGTCTGCAACCCCTCTAGCAGCATCAACCATCACCGAAACCGCAACGATCTCGGCGACTCCTCTACCTGGAGTGATCACGACCAGCACAGTCACCGCAAGCGCTGCTGCTACTTGTCCGACCGGCAATGTCGTTGTCAATGGGGACTTTGAGCAATCTCTGACTGGTAACTGGATTACGCTACCCGCAGGAGACAGCACACTCGAACGTACCGCTGGCAGTTCCGCTCCAGGAGGAACATACGGTTTCCGATCCCGCATCGGAAGCACCAACAGCAACTTCCCCCAGCGACTTGTTCAGGCCGTGACTGTAAGTACAACATACATTCAAGCTCCATGCGAGGCGTCTGCTAACCCCGTTATCTTAGCTGTGCCCCGGGGTTAAGTATCAAGCCTCTTTCTCAGCAAGGCGCGCCACGAGTGCTGGACAAGTCAGCGTACTTCTTTACCTCGGCGACTCTCAACTTGCTGGAGGAGTCATCACATCAACGACCTTTGCTCTGCTGTCATCTGCAACTTTCATCGCACCTGCCTCCATGTCTGCTGCGCTCCTTAGGTTTGAGTTTGGATATCAAGGAGCAGTTGGCTCCACCAAGGAGATCCAAATCGACTCAGTTGTTCTGACAAAAGTTTCATAAAGGTCTTTCGGTGTATAATAGCAGATCGAGCGTTGAGGGGAAGAACGTGGGCACTCGTTACCGCACTGCGGATCTAATGTTAATAATAATCACTATTTGGAATGTGACAGTGAGCTTTCTTGATTCGGCCTGCCGTATAACTTCACAGGCTTTTTAGAACTCTATAACGTGCTAATGATCTGTCGAGTCTTTCTAGGCTTACATATAAGATGATGGTCTTATAGTAGGAGTGTGAGTTCAGACAGAGCGCGCACAAATTATTGAAGCACTTAGTGGCGCCTCGGTTCTAGTATCTAATCCGCTGTCACTATGGGTTGTGCGCCACAGACTGGCAGAGACGGTCAAGAGAGCGTGTATGCAGGTTAGTTGGGCTCAGAAGAAGGGATTTGGAGTAGCGTCAGAGCATAGTAGCTACACCAACAAGATATCCGACTGATATGTACGTATTTGGTATTTGCTTTTGTGACTAACATACTATAAGTTTGCGAACGACCAAAGCATACTGGAAACGCCACAGAAGGAACCACGCCGAAGCGGACGAAGATGACGTGCCACGTTCAAGCACTGTCCATCTTCTCCGCAGTATCAGCGACCTCGTCTGCTGTCTTCGCCGCGTCGGCATCCTCCTTTGCCTTGTTGTCGCCACCTGCGCCTCCACTGACAAGCTTCCTGACGACATCGACAGTCGCATCAGGGCCTCCAGGCTCAGCAGCTAGCACTTTGCCGGACTTGTCCACGACAAAGACGCCGCGCGTAGTGCCCTTGGGTCCCTTCTTCAGGCCAATGGCTGAGATGAGCGTCTGTGCAGGATCACACAGTAGCGTGTAAGGGAGCTTTTGCTTCGTCTTGAAGGTGGTGTTCGCTTTGGGGCTGTCGTTGGAGAGGCCGTAGATGCTGTAGCCGGTCGCGGTAAGGGGTTCGTAGGAATCGCGGAAGAGGCAGGCTTGCTTGGTGCCTATTGTAGTATCTTGTAAGCAATGCGCTTTACGGGGGTTAGTGTCAGGGGTAGCTTACAGCCTGGGGTAGAAGCCTTGGGGTAGGTGAAGAGCACAACTCCGCCCTTGCTTTCCTCGACAAGCTTTGCGAGCGTGGTCTTGTCTCCGTCGTTTGTCTCAATCTCACCGCCGAAGGAAGTCAGGTCAATTGTGTCGCCGGCCTTGGCCTTTCCACTGGCGGTCGCGGCGGGCTTGGAGGCTTCGCCATTGATCGCGTCAGAGACAGCCTCCTTGACCGTCTCGACAGTCTCGGCAACAGTTTCCTGGACCTTTTCGACGACAGTCTTCTCCTCAGCCTTCTTGCCCTTGGCAGGCGCCTTCTTCTTCGCCTCGCGTACTGGCGCAGGAGGAGCCTCCTTGCGCTTGCGGAGCTCGACAGGCATGGTGAAAGTGTTGTCGCGAAGCTGAAGTGCGGTCGCGTTAGTGTCGCGAAGATGGGTAGACGCGACTGAGAGTAGTATTGTCACGGAAAAGGGTTGGTGGAGTTGGGCGCAGTGCGTATACAGCGGTCGAGGTCGGACGGCGCTTACCTGATGAAAATCGCCCACTAGTAACCTGCAGTACAACCTTGTCTAGTGTCAGGTTGGATAGAATTGGCAGACGAGGATTTAGCTATGTCAACAAAGCTAGAACGATGAGTGTGACGGCGCAATATCAGATATGCCGCGTGTGCAGGACAGTGAGCCCGAGGATGTTCACCAACCACCTCCTTGGCAGTCTGTCCATATCGATATTAGCCAGATTACATGAGCAGCGTCTTTTGTTGGAAAACATGCGTGCTTCAGCTTGCGCCCGGGGTAGCTACGTCGTTGTGATTGGGCGTTGGGTGTGAGGTTGTGAATCCGCCCCGATGGCTTTCCGTTCGCTTCGGCGGCCGAACGTGTCATAGCTTCCTTCCCGCAGCCGCGGCGCGATTTCAACGGCCCTGCGTTGTCTGGTCAACACCATGGCGAGCGTATAGAAGGACTTTGTCTTTGACTGAGCCTGATACTTCTCGATACATGAGTGACAAGTGCAATCGTGGTGATGCAGTCCGCAGCAAAAACGCAGGCCTTTGATCGACCACCTCTTCACGTCCTGAAGTGCTCCAACCTTGCTCGAACCGCCTTGATGGCGCCGGTTTCTACTGCGAATCATCTCTCCGGGTACTGATGGCTGATATCTGATAGCGAGTGTGTTGATATTCTTCTGCCCGGTGTTCAAAATGGCTCTCAGCCGACCACAGTGTGCTAACTAAGGGGCGACCCGAACCGTACCATACTTTGAAGCAAATCAAGCATGATGATTCGACCACAGTTGCTCTATCGAGATATGCATGCTCAAACAGTGGTACCAACGTCATTTTGCGCTCAAATCCCACAAACACATTGCTCCTCAAATCGTCTTGTCTCTGAAGCCCTATTCCTTATCTGCACTCTCTTCCCAACACCAACACTACCAAGGTACTGGATTGTCTTATCTCATTGCAGAACACCTTATAAAGTTTCTTCAATTCCTACATGCAATACAGCCTGTGCAACTCATCACACCTGCTCCACTCACAATGGCCACCATGATGGAGAGAGACGGCAGCGCTTCTAGCGCATCCACAAGTGAAGCACGAGCCCGGCAGCCACATGCAAAGACTGCTGAAGCAAAGGAAAGTGGTCTGCTACAGCAGAGCACAAATGCTTCAGACCCTGAAGGCCAAGTCGAGCCAGTCGCTGAGCGCGATGCTTTTGGCAACGAAGACGGCGCTCAAATCCACTACAAGACATGCAAGTGGTAAGTACAACCAGACAACCATTCTGCCCTCAAATCTGACAATACAGGTGGCATACTGGTGTTCTAATGCTCGCCGAGAACGTTTCCCTGGGCGTTCTGGCCCTTCCTCAAGCTCTCGCCGTCCTCGGTCTCGTCCCCGGTCTCCTCTGCATCTTTTTCCTCGGTATCATTGCCACATATACTGGTTGGATCATCGGCGAATTCAAGCTGGCCCATTCGTCTGTGCAGTCTTTTGCGGACTGTGGTATGCTGATTGGTGGGCCGGTTTTGAGAGATATCTTCGCTTTGGGACAAGTTCTCATCTTGATCTTTATTCAGGGTGCACATGTGCTCAGCTTTTCGATTGCTATGAATGCTATCACTGATCATGCCGTGTGCACTATCTGGTGGAATGTCATCGGTATGGTTCTTTGTTTGGTTTTGGGGCTGCCGAGGACGTTCAAGAATGTCAGCTACCTGTCCATCTTTTGTAAGCGTGCTACTCCCAAAATGCTGTAGGATACACTAACAGAAATAGCTTGTCTCTCCATCATCATCGCAGTCACTGTAGCAATGGTTGCAATAGGTATCCAGAAACCCGACGTCGGCAACATCCTCGCTGTTCGTCCTGATGTGCCTTTGGTCAAAGGACTTGGACCAGTGCTCAACATCATCCTGGCATATAGTCAGTGTTACCTCTTTGAACAGCTCCGGCCTTGATTATTGCTAACAAGAAGTAGCTGGCCATGTCGCATTCTTCTCCTTCCAAGCCGAGCTCAAAGACCCGCGCGACTTTAAGAAGGCACTCTTTTTCGAGCAAGGTATCGCAGTGACTTTTTACATGACCATCTCCGTGGTCATCTACTACTACGCCGGTCCACTCGTCGCCAGCCCCGCGCTCGGCTCTGCGAGTCCCCTCGTCACAAAGATTGCTTTCGGTATCGCCCTTCCTACAATTATCGTCGCTGGTGTCGTCAACGGCTCGGTAGCGTGCAAGTACATTTACGTCAGGATCTGGAGCGGCACGAACCTCGTTCATCAGAATAACGTCAAGAGCATGAGCAGCTGGTACGGCATCTGCACAGTAGCTTGGATTGTGAGCTGGCTGTTGGCTGAGGTCATTCCGAACTTCAACCTCTTCTTGGGGTTGATCGGTGCGTTGTTCGGAAGTTGGTTTAGTTGTGAGTTACTCGCCTTACATTTCGTAATATGATTACTGATATCAGCAGATGCTCTCCCACCATGCCTGTGGTTGTATCAGCACAAAGGCAAATTACTCTCAACAAAGGGCAAGTCTAGCCTGACTGTTCTCAACTGCATTGTCGGAACACTCGGTATAACCATCGTAAGTCCTCCTCCTGATGTAGTCTAAGACCCCGACTCATTCGTGCAAAGTTCATCTTAGGCATGTGGTCTTCTGGAACGGAGCTCGCTAATGGCACGGGAGGAAAGGTGTTCTCGTGTGCGAACAACTGGGAACCTAAGAGTTGGGTGGCGGCAGGCGAGAAAGGGGCATGATCTGATGTAATAGTAGCACTTGAGCGCAGTGAGTACAATGAAGCCATATAAAATCGGGGTACTTCCACAAGCCTTTTCGGTTTGGCGGGATCATTGAAGGGCATATTTATGACCCTTCGAGCCACCAGGTGCTGCAGTAATTTGTGCGCACTCTGTCTTGACTCAACTTACTATTAGAGAGCAACTGCTATCTTATATGTACGCCTGAGTAGAGTTCATAGCTGATGAGTACGTTGCGCAGAGCCAAAACATCCTTAAGATTAGACAGCTCAACGGAATTTATGTTGCTTCATATACGGAGCATAGGATCGTGAGTCACAGCGCGCACGAATTATTGCTGCACCTGGTGGAGCATTGTCTAAAGTCGACGTCATCACGTGGTTTCGTGTGAGGAAGGCGCGACAAGTCGCGATGCCGTTTATCGTTATCGCCACTCCACTCCACCCTCATCACCCCGCAACACTTTTGCGACCACCACTCACTTCTCCCAATTCAGAGTTCGAGAGCACCTTACTGTCATTCATAACGCTCATCCACACCAATAGCAGACGTTTGCGCCGAGAACCATGGACTCCGAGCTTCGCGCGTCAGAAGGTCGACCTTCGCGCAAGCGCAAGATCATCAGCTACGCCGAGATTGACGAAAATACCCCATTCGGGTCTCCTTCGCCCCCGAGAACGAAAAAGAAGAAGTCCATCAAGACCACCGAAGCCGTCGATCTCACGGCAGATTCACCCAAGAAAGCGTCTCCGAAGAAGAAAGAGGGCAAGCGCGCCAGCGATGCACCTGCCGAAGAGAAGCGCCGCAAAACATATCGCTCTGAAGCACCACAGTCCTACCTCACTGTCAAGGAGAGAGCTATGACACAACGTCTTACCGTTCTCTCCCGCGAGCGCTGTGGAACCGACAATGTGCCGGAAGAGAAGGTTCTCATGGCAGGTTCGACCGGGCAATGTCTACACACAGAGAATCAAGCTCGTCCCAAGCTGTGATTGCCCACATGCTAGGTTCGGAAACCAGTGCAAGCACATCATCTACATCATGTTGCGCGTACTGAAGGCTCGTGAGGAAATTGCCTATCAGCTGGCGCTCACAACCTCAGAGCTGCGAGAGCTTCTCAAGAACGCACCACCTATTCCCGGCGTCGAGACGGATCTGACGGATGCAAATGGCGAACAGGACGGCAACCGCAAGCCTATCGAGGGTGAATGCCCTATCTGCTATGACGACCTCGAGCCTGGCAAGGACGCTATCGTATACTGCAAGGCTAGTTGTGGCAACAATGTTCACAAGGATTGCATGCAGAAGTGGATCGCAATGACAAGAGACAAAGCAACATGTCCATACTGTCGCGCTACATGGGCAGCGGAGGATGGCAAGCTTGGCGGTCTCGATACAAAAGGTTTGAAGAAGAACAAAGAAGGCTACATCAACGTCGCTGGACAATTGGGTTTGGATGGACAACGTGACTATTCAACCTATAGAAGGGGAGGTCGGCGCCGAAGCGACTTCGAGGACTTTGACGGCTAATCATTCAGCGTTCTCATCGAGTTTCTTAGTACGCAGCGAGTGAAGCTGCGGGACATGGAGTTTACGGAGTACTTTTATAACGACAAATATATTCAAGGAAATGTGGCACCGCAAATGTGGCTGGAGACCGCTCTCAAGTTAGAGGCGAAAGGGAAAGGAGCTGTTTGCCTCATCGTAATGCGTGTCGAATGCAATGCTCCGTCGCTGGGAGGCTCAATGCGGAGCCCAGCATGTTGTTCACAATGTTCAAAAATTCACTAGAAATTACCCCATCATCTTACATGGGAAGTACCGTACATAGCAGAACTAAATCCGAAAGCAAACTGTTATTCCACATCTGCGCTTACACATGAAAACCACATTGCATAAGTTCTTGGAAATCATGTGAAAACCCTCATTACCGAGATGAGACCCCATACATGATGCAAGCTTTTCGGAGAATATTCCTGCAAAGTCCAAATTAAACGCACGTCAAAATCTCGCAGCCACATCATCTTGCGTCTAGATCGCCAATGCGTCTGCCGAAGCGAAATCTTAATGTCGTGTCACAACATCGAATGTACTAACATCATCATCATCGTCAGAATCTTCAGAATGCGCGCTTGAGATTTCTACTGCAGGTCATTACCCACGACAAAGAGTAAGCAGGGTGTCTGAAGCGATATAGAAGACTATTATCGTCGTAGTTGAAGTCTAGTAATACTGTATATTATCTCCAGGCTATTAGATACCCAAGTTCACGAATCCTCGCATCGTGCGGCTATGAGAAGTTCATCCCGCCCGTCCAACTCCGCTCCTTGTTGTACCGTGCCATATCATCACATGACAAGAGATGTATACCATGTCGTGCCATGTCTTTCTCTTGGTATATGAGTTGTTGCAGGATAAGAGATTCTGACATAATTCCGTCATGTCCTTCTTTTAGTGCACTGTGACGTCTTTTTTCATGACAAGAGATGCATGCTGTTTTCCTGCTGTATCCTTCTCTTAGCTGCATGCCATTTATAATGCGTCTCTAAGCCATCTACGTCTCTTCTGTGTGCGCCTAAGGACGGGAAATTTCTTTTGTGAAGACTTAATTTGTTGTAGTGCTCAGCATTGGCGTGGGCTGCGACAGCCGACGGCTTTCCCGGCAGTTTGAGAACTTTTTGTTCGCCTGTGGAACTAATCACGTACAATCATCTCGAGCAGTGCTGGGCCTAAACGATAATTTTAGTAATGCACAGTACTGCATAGACATAATGCGTTGCCAAAAGAGCAGCCCGAGACACATAGCGACTTCGACTCACAGGAAGCCCGCGGCATTCATATCGTATCGCCCCCTAACACTGAAGGAAAACTGTCTGCTATTGTCGCGATGAATTTTCGATCTAGCAATCCTTTAATAAGGCTCAAATGCAACGCAACGTGTCAAATCATAGCAAACTAACCCCAGCTCCCCCTTCACAACCCAATCCAAACCGACCATCAGAGGCCCTTTAGAATGCCTTATCGAAGGCCCAATCGAGCTCCCTAAAGGTCCCAATCAGACCTCACGTAACACTCCAGCCTGATCCGTCCTGAGCCCCGTCCCCGAGTCCATAATCCCTGTCTCAGCCTGACTCTACGTCTATTTCTTAGAATTCGCCTATACTGTGTATTACTGAAATCGTCTTACCCTTAACTCTGACCTCATATTAAATGCTATTCTTGCTCTATCCTATTCTACGGGATTTACCTATTTAACTTCCTAAGTCCTAACTCGTGACTAGGTTCTTGATAGACGCACCTAGGCTCATTACAAATAGGATATTAAATATAGTAATTGAGTTTAACAGCAGCGCACAGCATATAATAGTAACATACTGCTTATCCTGTTTAGCATTTATGCCGCTCTTAGCGTATACAGCTTAGCGATAGAGCAACCTATAGTAAAGACAGAGAGGACTAGGAGAATAATAAGACTGACTTTGCGGCACGAGGGCATAGTGAGCTTAAAAACGAAGATCACAGAGAGAAGGACATAGAGGATGTCCCTAAGGGCAAAAAGAGCTGCATCCTTATGTTAGTAAGTAGAGTTAGTTCGAGTGCCGCAGACTTCCCTCCCATTATTTTCTCTTTGCCTCCATACAACTTATATAACCCCAAACCTTTGTCAACAACAGCGAACACAGCACACCCGATACGAATCCAATGACAAGCTTGGTCACATGCGGCAGACCTGATTGTTGTGGATCTGTGATCGTTGTAGCAGACGATACTGCAGGCTCTCTATCCTTCGTCTCGAACTCGTTGGTGTTTTGAGCATGCGATTCTCGGTGCTGGTCACGACCATTGCGGGGCATTATGCGCGTTGTTGGATGTGAGTTTGAATATCAGGTATGGGAATCTGAATGGGTGTGCTGCTGGTGGTGTTTTGAATAGATGGGAGGAAAGAGTTCTGGGTAGGCAGGTGTTGATTAATCTCAGCCTTGGAAGATCCTTGCTAACGCTCATGTGACAGAAAATTAACTCATGACTTGGTACTACCTTAGACTTCGCACTACCTATTGAGCAAACATCAGGCAACCATCCAAGCAGCACTGTGACATAATGCTGTCCTCTAAGCATCTGAAAGCTACAATAACGTGCGTCTGTTCCGGCTGGGGCTCTCCACATCAACATCTTGGCGCGCAGTCGAGCGGAACCGCGTCACATGCAAGTACCCAAGCTAAGGACCCGAAGTATCCGACTTGGCCTCTCCGGCGGCATCGATCTGTATAACATGGCATTGCGTCTGTTAATACTTCGCTGTGCTGGCGCGATTGTCGCTGCACCCGGTCCGAACTATATGTGGCTCTTGTCAGGACACAGGTCTGCACCCACTGCGCCAGCATGCCAAAAAGGTTACAATGATCAATAAACGATTGATCATGCAGTGCAGAATATTATATATCTTCAGCCAGGTCTGACAGCTCTTGTGTCATTTCTATGACGAACATGACGAAGCCATCTACGGTGGCATTAGCTGAATGTATTCATTCAGCTAGCCATATAGACATCCTACGGAATCCCTACGACAAGTATGACGCGGCTGTGTATGGTGACATTGGCCGGATGTATCCATTCAGCCCAGGCTGATGCAATCGGTACCTCCAACGACCCGTCCCCAGGACACCAGAACTCCCCTTGGCCTGTCCTCATTGACCCATAAACTCAGGACTCGGAGCACCCCAACGGCAGCATCGATCACCAGCAAGAGTTCAACCATGCATGCTACTGTTTATACCACGCCGTAAACATGCGGATGGTCGAAAAGGTATGTTTGTGTCTCGATGCACGGATCGACAACAGGAGAACTGATAGTGCATGGTAGCTCACGAACTCGATTGGAGTGGTTTTCTCACGCAGCCACCCGATGCCGAGGATTGGAAGCCAGACCCAGATTCGATCCCTAGGACAGGTACGCTGAAGGATGCTCGTTTCAGTAAGGATCCCTACAACGCCATCTTCTACCACGGCCTGGACAAGAAAGTCAAGCTTGTCAACATCACCTCGCCTCATACGCACTGCTTCTATTCGACGCAGACTTCACCGAATAGATCATGCACAGCAATATTATACCAGAATTGAATAGTATCAGTGTACGCTTTAACTTGCGTCACTGCTATAGTCTGCTTGCTTAGGCGGTTGAGGAGTACTCATCGCACCATGGCCTCAATCTCACGGAGACTATGAAAGACGTCGGAACGGTACCTCTTGCCTCACGCGCTGCTTCGACGCCGAGTTCACCAACCCTGTTAAACGACGATAGTATGACACACGCGGGCGCTGTCACGAAGACGCAAACCCAACTCACCTCACCTCACTGGTGCTGTCTGGTTTTCGGTCGCCCAATCCTCACACTGCTGGCAAATTACTGCAGATCAACACGTTACCAAACATATACTAAATCTGCAAGCTCCAAGCATGTATGACGATGCTGCATAGATGCTCATTCTCGAGCTGGGGAAAAAACGCGGCTGAAACTGACTAAGATGAAATTTAAACTTGTTTTAAATACGAGCGCTAGGGCTCGCCCTTACTAGATAATTAATCTACAAAGTATAATATACGTGCTAGAACCTAGACAGTCTGACAGCTGACCGGAGTAATACTAAGCATATCTCCGGATGCATTAGATTAATAACAACCTGACAAGATAAAACAGAATGCGTTATTTACGTCTCTACTAGTTGTACACACCGCCTGTCGCTACTACCGTTCAAATGGCTTAGTGAGGCCTTAGTAGCTCGGCCCTAGTCGCAGACGGGCCTATTATATAGAGTTTCGGGGTTTTTATCTAGACTCTAATCTTACTAACGCTGTAGCATACCGTATTAGCAATTCCTAGCTGCAGAGGAAGATATTATTAACTCATCCCCTTTATAAGGCTGGCTAAGATTCTAACGTTATCGTGAATCATCGTTACAATCAACTCTACCTAGACCTCGACGCATATAGCCAGTTCTAATCATGCTGTACTCAGCTCCGCTCGTTCTTATCATGGCCATGGCCACAGGAGCCAACGCTGCCTGCAGGCGTGGGCTAAATTCTTACCCGAATTATTCAGTCGGATGCATAACAGACGATGGCGGTACTGTATGCAGGAGCGAACAGCTCCCAGGAGGATCAAAAGGATGTACTTATCCGACGGCTCAAAACCTTGTTCGTCTTCTTAGAGTATTACATCGTTCGGCTCTATGTATCGCTAACAATAATACAGTGTAAGACTGACGGAAGGTGTATTTACCAATTGTGCTGCCCGTTCTAACACGGCGATACAGTAAGAAAGCGAGCAATATAGAGATCTGATCTACGCTAACTATCAAAAAGCAATTCCAACATAAGTCCACACTATTAAGCTACTCTTTCTGTTCCGTTCTCTCCAACCAATATATTGAAGCCTTTGTTTCTTGTTAGCGGAGCTGAGATGATGAGGGTAGCTGGGGCGGGGCTCACTCTCTTCCTGTGTATTGATATCCCCGGTCTCATAGCATTTTACTACCAATGTATTAGCAAAGGTCGACTACTATAACACCTCTACTACATTATCTACGCTGATTACGACATGGTGCTCCTCGCGTAGATGGTTCAAGGCGCAGGACATTCAAAGCGCTGGCAGCTCTTGATGTGAATGCAGGATAATAATAGGGGATGTAGAAGCTACACGATATGTTGGGAAGGCTATTGTACGCGAGGGCAGCAGCGGCAGCTTTGTGGAAGCTAGGAATACGCACATCTCTACGTTGCATGTTCTTAAGCGCGTATTCAATAAGTCTTTCACGGCCTCGATCAATAGAGCGCTAGCCACGAGGCAAAGCGGCGCGAGGCTGAGATTATATTGTAACGAAGTGTAGCGAAATGATACCCTTTGAGCTGTTGAAGATCGAGGGTACTGCCACCTGACTTCTGCTCTTTTTGGCGTTGAGTTCCTCTTGTAAGCCCGCGTTTTGGTCGTGAAGAAAGTCGTCGTTGACCTGTAGCAAGTGGATGCTTTGCGACAGCCGTTTTGCTTCAACTTTTGCCTTGTCAGCGACCGCAGCGTCAAGAAATTTGCGCAGCTTGTTCCCACTATCGCCGTCGCCATTGTCTCTAACTTCTGAGTCTTCATCTTGACGTTCTGGGTGGTCGTTGAAGCGTTTTAGGACTGCGTCCGCTTCCATCGGCCACACGCCTGTAGCTTCAAAACTCTTCAAAATGGCATCTGGCCTCATTGTAGAGCTCCACGCCGCCCAGAAGTTGTTGAAGAAGTCGCATTGCGTCGTCCTTGTGAGGCCTTGCGATCTCTGCGTACGGCGGCCAAGTTGTGCGGTGTAGTTCCTCGGAAGTGGCGAGAAGAGCACCACATCAAGCGGCTGGAGACTGTGAGTTGATTGAGGTGGATAGATAGCGAGAAGGATTCGACTGGCGTCGCAATAATCTATAAAATCTGGCGTGAGGTGGCCGCCGTGGCCGCCAAGGATCAGAAGTCGCCATCCTCGTCGCGCTTTCGCTTTTGTATGACGATCAAACACTTGTTCAAGCCAGGCAAGCCCGAGGTGGTCGTTAGTCCATCCTGAAGGCGAGTTAGAGAAGAAGATTTGATGCTTGCCGGCCTCAACTTCGTCTGTCCAGCTCGATTGAATCCCAGCTATGCCCTGATGGATGAGAGCGGGCGGTAATGCCTCTCCAGAAGCGCATACGCATGCCAGAAGCGTTACCCATTTCCTGTTGCCATCTTGAAGCGCCGCAATGCGCTCTTTTGAAGCCTAAGTTCGTTTTGTAAACACTTGTTTTGAGCATGTTTCGCGACCGACACAGAAGCCCTTATCTATATTGTAGATGTTGCGCTCGTTAAGGTTGTACTCGCGGATCTTCGCATGAAGTAGAGCGAAGTAGGACTTGTATCTCTCTTTAGTTTCATGCCTGGCAACAAGGCCTCTTCGCGAGACTTGGAGCCTACTGGTATATACCAGTCCTGCGAATCCGAATTCTCCACATCGTATCTGAGCAGCAACACATCAAGAGATAAGCAGACCGTGCAAAATGCACATCTCCAGCGCCCAATAAACCCCTCGCTGCACATCTACAAGACTCTACACCCCAACAATCCCAGGCGCAGAATAACGTTGTGGGATATTGCTGACACGAGCCCATCCAACAAGCCCTCACCAATCTTCTCACATCCAACGTCCAACCCTCCCTTCCCAATTCCCCCATCCAGCCAAGCACAATCACGGAGTCCAGAGTCCAGAATCCAGACTATCGAAAAAACCAGCTTACTGTACTCGTACCGTACATACCGCCGCGGTCAGCTCCGAAATTCGCGCCGCGCGGCGTGGGGCGGCACGGTGTAATCTGGGATGAATAGCGACCAGAGGCGAGATGATGTACGCAAAAAAGCTTGCGTGGACGATCTGAGTGGAGCTGCGCATGCGCATGTGAAAAGTGGCTGTATCGATTGAGTTAAGCGAAGGGGGGCGGAGAGGTAATTATTGGGGGTGAAGATCAGTGGGTATGTGCATTTGTGATGCTTGAAAGATCGTCACCAGATGCTGGCAGAACTCTTGTCCGTCCTCACCGAACAAGAGAAGATTGAGGTATCCTGGATATTCTCAAAATCTTTCGCAACACTAGACAAGAATATCTTAGGTTATCGTATATCTTCAGGCTCCCTAATAAACTTATGAGTGCGCTCCTAGAGACTATGAGATCATGTTGTGTAGGTGCAGAGCGGACACGAATTTTGCCGCTGCCTAGTGTCGTCGTTGTTCACGGCATGGGGCAATTGGGAAGAAGCTTGGTTTCAGTGGTGAACGTTTGAATTGCGCAACTATACAGAGGATGTCAAAACGCCGCGCCATACCCGATGGACTTTTGCACCCAACCGGCCTTCAAAACACAAGGAAATAAAAATGCAACATCGGAAACAAGGAAAAAATCGTGATGCAAGTGTCCAAATCAAGTCTCATCTCGTCACTGTTCGCGCGCTCCAAAAAGCAAGTGTGTGTTGTTGGAAACAAGACAGCGTATATTGACAAATGCGTACATCTTCTCCTCCCTATATCTTAAACATGGCAAAATACACTTTGTACACACCGCCCGGCCATCTGCTCCTGGCCATAGACACGAACAGTGATGATAAAACACTTGATAGACATAGCAAAGAAATGGATCAAGGGACCCTTCGTGCTCAAGGCACGTTACAGACGGCCGTTTAGCTCATGCTAAGCAGAAGCTTAGTAGGTGCCGTATCCGGAGCCGTAGCTGTTACCGGGAGCCGGGGTGGGCTTGGTCTCGCCGGCTGGGGTGGCCGAAGAGGAAGAAGCGGGTTTAGGTGCGGCGGGAGCGACAGGGTAGCCAGAGCCGTAGTCGCCTCCTGCGGGAGCGGAGGGCTTGACGTAGGCGGGAGTTGAGGCAGAGGCAGCCGGGGTGGAAGCAGTCTCACCAGCGGGAGTGGTCTTGGGCGAGGCAGTGGGGACAGTAGGGACCTCGGAGACGAATGAGAACGCAGGGAGGCTGCTGCTGGGGACACCGGAGGCTACGGGAAGCGAAGGCTTAGCAGATGTCTTGAAGCCAGTAGGGCCGGCAGGGTAAGGGTTGGTGGCCGTTGGTGATGGGGTACATGCCACCGGCGGGAGCAGAGGGCTTGGGGGGAGTGCCAGCGCCGCCGGCAGGGACGGAGGGCTTAGCAGAACCAGTGGACGCGTTCTCAGGGACGACTGGGTAACCAGCGCCACCGGCAGGAGCAGAAGGCTTGCCCTGGCCAGCGGTGACGGTGACAGTCTCCTTAGCAGTGACGGTAACGGTAACAGGGGCCTCGCACTCCTCTCCACCGGGGCCAGTAGGCTTGCCGGCGCCACCAATGGGGGCAACTGGAGTTCCCTCGGCACCGACGGGGACGGATGCAGAAGGAGTGGGCTTGACGGTGATGTACTTGGTGGAAGTAGAAGTTGAGGTCAAGGTGCTGGTGCCAGTGGGGCCAGCGGGACCCTCGGGGTAGCCAGGCTTTCCACCCTCGGCGGTAGCGACTGGGTAACCGTTGCCGCCAGCAGGAGTGCTGCTCTTGCGGATGGTCACGACAACGGTGGAGTAAGCAGTCGAGGTGCTGGTGGAAACGACCTCAGTGGTGACGGGATGAGCCGTGCTTCCGACACCAATAGTGTAGACCTAAGGAATTGTTAGCTACAGGATCATACATGCGAAGAAGATGGGTGACTCACCAAAGTCTCGGTCTTGGTCTTGACAACCTCAGAAACAGGAACCTGGCTGGTAACAACGCCAGGGGCGGAAACTGGGGCGGAAGGCGCGGGGTACTTGGAGGCATCCGACTCAGCGCAGACGGTGGTGCCGACGGGGACAACAGCGGTGATGAGAGCGCTGGACTCGTACTTGATCTGGGTGGAGTAGATGGTCTTGGTGACCATGTCGCTCACTGGGGTGCTGGAAGGAACGCTAGCACCAGTTCCAATGGGGTAACCGGCACCTCCGGATGGGTAGACGCCAGAGGAAGCGGCCTGAACTGGGGAGCTGGAAGGCTTTCCAACGCCGCCAGATGGGACCACAACGGAGCTGGAGGGCTTTCCAACGCCACCGGAAGGAACGGCAGGTCCCGAAGGGTAGACACCAGCGGTGGAGCTGCTGGCTGGGGCGCTGACGCCGCCTGAGGGGACGACGACAGAGCTGGAAGGCTTGCCGACACCGCCGGAGGGAACGACAGAGCTCGAGGGGAAGACACCAGGAGCGGAGCTGGTCTTGGCGCCAGCGGGAACGCTGCTGGAGGAGGTCTTTCCGCCACCGACGGGGTAACCGTTTCCGTAGTCACCACCTGCGGGGGCAGAGGGAACTGGGGAAGCAGAGCTCACGCCAGCTGGCACGGAAGAGCTAGAGATGGCAGCAGAGCTGGAAGCAGCAGCAGAAGAGCTGGCGACAACGGCAGAGCTGGAGGCGGCAGCGGAGCTGGAAGCAGCAACTGACGAGCTGGAAGCAGCAGCGGAAGAGCTGGCAACAACGGCAGAGCTAGACGCGGCAGCAGACGAGCTGGAGACAGCAGCGGAGCTGGAGGGCTTGCCGACGCCGCCGGAGGGAACAACGGCGGAAGAGGTCTCAGCGCCAGCGGGGACGGAAGAGCTTGAACCCTGGCCACCGCCAACGGGGTAACCGCCTCCGTAACCACCGGCGGGAGGTGCGGGAGAAGGAGTAGAACCAGTGGCAGGGTAGGAGGAGGCGGCATCAGGAGACGAGGAGGTCGAGAAAGCCGGGGAGGAGGTCTGGACGTAGGGAGGGGACACTACGCTGGAAGAGGTGGCAGTGGCAGCGTCGGGAGTCTTGGAGGACTCAACCTCGCCGTAGCCACCGTAGCCACCGTTTCCGTAGGAGTTGTCGGTGCCGTACTGGCGACGAGCCTGGCGGTGGCTGCGAGCCTCGGCGGCATCAGCGGCCGCGAGAGCAGCGAGGAAGGCAAGAGTGAGCTTCATGTTGAGTGCTGGAAAAATGCTTAAAATCGGCTGATGGGTATGTTGCTTGAAAGTGAGAACCGGGAGATATCAGCAGAAGTCGATTCCGCAAACCGCTATTGAATCCAGGAAAGAGTGACTGGAGTTCGATGTAACGAGAGGCACGTCCGAAGACTGAAAAGCGAATGTGTGTAATGAAAGTTGAGCCTTGCGGTAAAGAGAGAAGCAACAGGCGGAGACGGGCGGTATATGAATGAACGGGACATTATTACAGGAAGGCCGGCCAAGGCAAACATCCGAGCGCACAGATGCTGGTCGACGGTGTGCCCCTGGCGGTGAGTTAATTTGATTCAGGGACGTCGGCGACAGGGACCAGTCAGCGGCAGAGTGGACAAGCTTAGCCAGGAACAGCGCCTAGGGTGTTGCATGAGGCTAGCCATTCAGGAGCCGGGATGGCCAACGTCGTGGCTTGGGAGCCGCTGGGTGCGTGGCAGCTGCTCGCTGGAGGCGCTGAGAGGAGCTGAGAGGACGGCTGCGCAGCGAGATGACTGCACGCTCTTCACGATAGCGCTGTGCGAGCGTCACCATGGCCGCCTCGTTGCTGCTCGGCCCTTTTGTGTGCGCTGCGTCGACGTGCGGCTGGCAATGATGTGCCCACGATCGCCCATGAGTCCCATCTTTCTGTAGCCGCGGTGGATGGCCGGCCGCCGTCTAAGATTGCGTTTCAAGGCGCTTGGCCGAAATAGACTTGCACCTTGGGATGATCCTCCCTGCTAGACGGCGGGTACCTGGCAGACATGCCCAGATGGGGTTTTGCTGACCCACGCCAAGCAGGGGTACAGGCGCACAGCAGCTGGCTGTCGTGCAACCATTGAAGAACATCCGCGTTGTCTTCTCGCTGTGCGACCAAGAGACACTCGATGGCCCAGAGACTCCTCGTGTGGGCGCACTCGTGTCGTGGTCGTGGTCGTGGTGCCGATTGGCGTGTGGATAGGCGTCGCCGTAGTCGCGAGGTCTGAAGCGGCCAGCACTGGCGGAGCGGGCGAGCTTACCGCATGCATAAAGGTGCGACACTCGACTCCTATTCTTGTCGTGCTCGAGCCGTCATAATTTGCACAACCCGGCCGTCAGTTGTCATCGTGCTCCAGAGCGATCGCCACGGCATTGTCTTGTAGAAGCTTTCGGGTTCGAGAATGTTCAATGTTGTGAAATGGAGGGAGTGGATGATGCGCAAGTAGCCCTGGAGCGCCTCCATCGTGCCTTCCTTCGTGGAGTGGGTCTCGCCATAACGGCAGCCACAATCCCAAGCCACACCTTCTCTCAGCTGCCTCCTGCGAGGCCACACCCGCGCCATCCATGCCCATCGTCTCTGACGTATCTGGAGCGCATGAACCTCAGGCTCAGCCACATCCTTTTACACCTGCCGACTGCGCAAAGTTTCCAAACCCATCCCGTACTGAGACTCGGTACCCTCCGAATGCACTATTTTTACGGTTGCTGTAGCACTTGCGGCTCCCGTTCCAACTTGCGAACCGGTTAATCTCCTCCATTTGAACCTTGTTCCGGCAAGATGAAGTGTCAACAATGCAATCGATAGAGCCCGCCCGTATGCGGCACATGGCCATGTCGATTTCACGCCGTTATATCGAGTCACGGGGCTATTCGCAGCTGTTTCAACGTGTAGCTACTCGACGAGGGCTCTGTGAATACCTCCCAAGCCCGCCCCATCCTTCCGTCCAACATGAGGAGAGCACTGCACACGGATACGAGCGGTGCAAAGACCGATCCATGCCAATCGCGATAACCCTCTTCGCTGCACGTCATCTCAGTTTCTTTCCTGGCCCCGCTCGGTATAGTAACAAATAGATTGCCGCGTGATTGCCGACTGCCACTTCTGGCTACACGTGCAGACGAAACACGCGCTGCAAACTCCATCGCACGTACAGATCGCGAGGGCCCGCCGTGCCGGTCCTGCCATCCTTGAAGACCTCGCGGCGCCTGATCCGAGGCCTGGCCCAAACCCGCGATCCCACGATCTCGAACATGATGTCAGTGCAAGAGATATATGGGAATTGGGACAAGTGCATCTTAGACGGGTACTTGGTTTTTATCTCCGCTGCATAACTATTGGAATCTCACAAACTTTCGAAACAACGCCCTCATCCCGTCCTATCTGGCCCCAATCTGAAGCAGCCACCATTCCAATCCCGCGAACCCGCTTCTATCAGCTGCATCAACACACCCCACCCTCACATCCCCTCCTCATTAGACTTCTCACACCTCGCAGATCTCCCGCGCTGTCAGAAAATCACACATCAACGGCTCGTTTCGCCCACATGAAACAAACGGTGGCGTGAAACGAAACATCCCAGCACCATCCGCCAATACCATCGTTCTTGCCTTACAGCGACGTTCGAGACCACGAACCGTTGCCAAGACATGTGTAAGATGAAGGGCCTTGACGCTCCACTGTGTGTAGTGATGATATGTAGTCACACTTTGCGCGAAACGAAACATACCGCGGGTGGGCGGCTTGGCGCAATGCTTTCTGGGGGTGAGATCTGTAGCATGGATGATATATTTATGCGGAGGTGGGGGCATGATACTGGTGACATGTTTTGTGGTCGGGATACTCGGTGAGGCATTACATACCCCGCTGAGGATGGTGAGAGAATTTCGCGCGATGGGCGGTGCGGAGATTGTGATGTCGGCGTTTGGACTGTGTGAAGACAGAGCATAAGGGATGGACATTCGGGAGTGCGGAGAGTCGCCTGTGATGGCAAAGTTCTGAAGAACCTAGTCCATCTCGCACAGTCGTTCACTTTGAGGATTTGATACACTTTGCTTATTTACAAGAACCAAGCTGGCTCCAAACTATGAATTCTCAGTAGGTACATTCATTGTACATTGCCATGTCTCCGTCTTGTGCGCCTCGAAATCAAGCATTCCAGTTGTTCCGATGCGTTCCTTCCGCAGCATGGAATTAACAATACCTTCTCCTTGCGCGGTTATCTTCACCCAATCCATCAGCCGCATTTTCTTGTCATTTTTGTTCGAGTTCAAGACATGACGTACCCCTCATGTCTTGAACTCGAACACTCCGCCCCGAATCTCACTGCCTTCACCGGTCGCGCTGCCGGAGACAGAAGGCCACGCCATGCTATACGAGCTGAAAGACTGAATTTGGTGTGTATGAACTAACTTAACATTGCCCCAGCGAGATGATTGTTCGACTTTTGCGTATTGGGAGATAAGGCGTTCCCAGCCTTGTGCATCGTATGATGTAGGCGGACATCGAAAAGGTCATTCGGCACTGCTACTGGTTCTTGATAGGCAATGGGTAAGGTCACGCACGTCAGTCCCGGTCACGAATATCTCTGCTGAGGCATTTTGAGCTGCTCAGCCTTTGGAAGTTGGTGGACCGGTCAGGTCGTTTCTCAGCCTCGCCTGCCGATGCGGCGGCGGACACGTCAGGTATGTTTTAATGGTGAATGAAGCCACGAGGCTGAGGAATACGTCGTCCAATGGCAACTTCTTGCCCCATAGTCACTTACCCATTGCCTAACGCCCTCACCTCCCCTGCCTCCACACCATCAGGTCTTCATGAAGGATAAGAAACCACTTCCCTCAAGTGAGTACTTTATGTGCTGTTCTTACCTCGACCGCATATCCTCTCGCTCAGTCGAGCCGCAAAAAGTGCCACACTCACTACTCCGGCAAAAAGATTGGGCACTCCACGATTCGAACGTGGGTTTCTCGCAACTAGGCTCTGGACGTCCCGATCTGCTACAGACCGACTCCAGATACGGTTAAGCACCTCGCCAAAGCCGAGTGGATACCTGTATGCGAGCGTCTTACCACTGGACCAAGTGCCCTTTTCGTATTGATAGAAGATAGTAGGAGTGTGAAGTTTGTATACTCAAGACCTTACCCTTAGTAAATAAGAAAAAAATTGTGGGCACTCCACGATTCGAACGTGGGTTTCTCGCAAGCCCGCACGGTAGGTCCCGAAAGTCGACTCCAGATGCGGTTGCATCTTGACCCACCAACGCCAACCCGATAGCTGAATGCGGAGCGTCTTACCACTGGACCAAGCACCCTTTTAGTACTGATGGAAGATAGTTGGAGTGCGAGGTTTCTATAGTCGAAGCTTGTGACTTTCTGAGGTTTTGGCGACTCGGCTTGTGTCTTGACGTCGTTCCTTGTCATGTCTTCCAATTCCAGTTCTACCGAGCTCGCTTGAACATATGTTTTGGTGTCTGAGGTATCATTGGGACTGTCGCAACTTTGGCTGGTCTCTATCATCGCGACTCTTTGTGATCTATCTTGATACGACGCTGGCTTCCGATACCCAGCACGGGTATGATGGATCCGTACATGATGTTACCTTGCCATGTTCTTAACTTTAGGTAGACTACGATGATCATGTTGAGGACGGGGCAGGCACATACGAGGACGTTGCTGGACATCTCCATGTCGAACTCGTTGAACAAAGAACTACCCAACCATCTGCATACGAATTCTCCGTCTCTTGCTCAGCCAAAACACTCGTCCCTCACTCACGCCAGCACAAGACCACTTCCCTCGGCGCTGAAGCAACGTCGTCATGATGAGACCCATCAGTGGAGCCATTCATGGACTTGAGAAACCATGCCCGATTGAGACAAGGTTTGTCAAACTGACGCTCGACTGAAAATAAAAGAACGTCTGGAAAAGCCTCAAATGGTATCATTCAGCATACATGGACATGTATGGTGGATATTTTAACTGTAGAAAAGCCAGGAAATTTTCGAGCTCGTGGTATGCATCAAAGCTCGGATGGTATACACGGAGATAGCACTGTGACGATGTATATAGTACTGAAACCACATTCACTTCATCATAGCTACCGTCCCCATTCGCGCCCCAATAACCGTGCATAAAGAAACACTTCATCATTGCTGTCTCTGAGGCTAATCGCAAAGCAAAATTGCGTAGTCAATCCGCAATGATGCATTCACCAAATGTCTATCTATAACATCAGCGCGTGATCAAAATCTTACAGCATTCTGATGGTGCCCGTACTGTCGAAACCTTGAAGAGATCCACCCTTCGTTATCGCCACATGTAACATCGTTTTCGACGCATCCACATTCAACAGGACACATCTTAGTTAGAACCCTTCGAAGACGTGATCGCAGCTGTCTCGGCCCAATACGGTGATATTTAACGGCCCGTGGAAACCTTGAGTGCCAACCACGTGGTCGTGAGCGAACGACTGGTAGCCGCACGCGTAGGCTGTGACGTATGTGGAACAGCCTATGACGAGGGCTTGAACAATTGTGGCTGAAAGAGGCACATGAGAGCACACGATGGATGTCCCCTCGACCGAATCAGTCGTCAACTCATGCATAATCACGTGCCGTAAAGGAGTGGTAGTGCTGAAGATTTCTGTTACTTGGAATAGATATGTACAAACAAAGCCGCATGACAAATGCATGCAAGACTAGTCGCTCAGTGCGTTAAGTCATCGTACGCCCCCCAGTCCTTCCCTATTCGGACTCTTCTAGCCCTGAGTCTGGTCCGGCTTCAACGCGCATCCCTGGTTCTTAAACACAGGGTTGAGCTTCCCAACACTGAAGTTCAGCGCCGCAGCCGTAATGTCCGTGACAGTGCTCAAGCTCGACGGCACAGCCATGGTAGCCAGCTGGTACAGCAGACACAGCACGTCTCCCGCAGTGGCATCGTTGGGCAGTTCACCGCCCTGGATCTTACCAAAGGTACCGAGGCCGTCAAAGTTGTTGACGCCGATGTTGCCGCCGAAGAGCTTGGGAGCCTTCAGGTACATGGCCAAGATCTGTTGCACGACGTCGTTGTTGGTATAGGGAGCGACACGGCTGAACCAGTTCTCGGGAATGCGCTCTGGGACGTGGGCCCAGCCGCCGGGTGCGTTGGCGTCTTCTACGGCGCCGAAGAAGCTTTTCATTGTGGCGAGGTCGGCTACGCCCTTGTCGCCGTAAGATGGGAAAAGTTCGTAGAGGAAGGATGCGGCTCCATAAAGGAGGAGGGACAATGGTCTGCAGTAAAGTTAGTAATAACTTCCACTTAATCTTGCAAAGGTGTCACGTGCCCAAAGAAGAAATTCCCTGAATTGATTAGCCTCTGTACTGCCTAGAGAAGTTTTGTGGTGATGGGTGTGAAGGTTGACTTACCGTTGGTGGCGAGAGATTCGTCATAACGCTTGCCACGGTATGCAGCAAGCGCATCAAGGTCAAATTTACCGCCCGAGACAGTATCGGCGAATGACTTCATCTCAGCAAAGAGTGAGCCGTTGAAAGAGTAGTTGTCGCCATTGTTGAGGAAGTAGTCGGTACGGGTAAGCGAAGAATCACCCTCGAATTTGTTGTGTCCATTAAGTCCGGGCTGGCGACCGAGCAGTGGCAGCAGCGCAGTGCGAGAAGTAGCATCGCATCCGATACTGAGCTTGGTCGTGACAATGTCACCGTCGGCTTGGATACCGAGCACAGCCAGGAGGACTGAAAGGTCGTAGCCAACGTTGTAGACGTTCTGTTGAGCATCGACAAGCTCATTGAAGTTGGTGACTCCGTCGTGAGACAAGAAATTGTGGTTTGCTGCGGCGTTCAAGCCTGGGCAAGGTCCTCGGATGTCGTTCGGTCCTGGAGCAGTGTAGTAATGGGCAGTGTCGCCATCGGCTGGCACCTTGATGCCGCCCTTTTGCGATCCAGGAACACCATTCTTCGCTCCTGTGTATGGGTATTGAGATGTGTAGGGCGCGGCACCCTTATGGTCTGCGTTGAAGGGGCAAGTTGTCTGACGCTTGTTGTTGGCGTACCGAGCTTCTCTCAGCAGGGAGGAATCTACGCCAGCTTGACTGGCAACCCAACCATAGCCCCAAGCACTGGTGGCAGAAGAGAGAACGAGAAGAGATGAGAGAGTATGCATGTTGATCAAATGAGCACTGCTGTAACCTCTGTAGATGGGGCGAGATTATTTCACTTGAGCATTGTCTTACTTATAGGCCTTGCCAGGTCGATGTGACAACTATTCTTGGATGGAGGATTCAATATACCGAGGCAGATCCCCAGATTTTTTGTTACCATCGTACGCCGTCGACGTCCTGTTGCAATCCGACCTTTCTTATTGGAGCAACTATTGAGTGCGTGTGATGTGTGGGGGATGATCGACGTAGCGCGGCCATGATCGACATACACATTGCCTGTCAAGGAGTTCGAGTTTGGGCGAGGTTGACATGCTGTTCATCCTATCCAAGGTTCTTCGGATGGCCGCTAAGGTACTACGTAGGTGGACGGCGTTGCTTAGTGTGTGGCGTTAGCGGAAGGTTTGATCTCCGCACGCGCTAATCCACCGCATGTGGACATGTCCCTGAAAAGAATGTAGATCTCTGTCCAAATCTGGCAAGCATAGTGAGAAAGGGTGCCACAGGGTCGGATTGCGGGGAAATCAACAAGCCAATTACAACTTTTCCTACTACCTTCCGACTTCCCAATTTGTGAATGCAACCATGGTCGACCTCGGCTTGCTACGAGGCACTGCTCAGAATGCCAATTTCCATGGCCATGGCTAACGAGATTCAGCCTGATCAGACCCAAGATGAGCGAAACTCCGGAGATTTGTCTGCTCCTGGTCAGGCACCCCCTAACTTTTGTGTCATCGTACATGTCCATGATTCCACAATCGGATCGCACTTGACAAATGTGGTTTTTCGAGAAGCATGCGCTCATCCCTATATCTGAAAATACAAGAATATGTGTGCGTAGATTAGAGCACGACATTGTGTCGCGCTCTTGGAAATGAAACATTGCTGCTTTTCATAGCTCAACCATCTTTTCCGAAATCATTGCTTGTGCCACATCAAAATTACCAGGTATGAGCGCGATGCCATGAACTTGTGCTGCGCGGTCTTGAGCATTGTTGAACGCTTCTGAGTATAACAAGGTCTGTGGAGAGGCTCTTGCGGCAACTGGTGGGGCTTTTCTGGGGGCAATTAGCTTGGCGGGATTTCCCTGCACAATTGCGGTGTACCAAAGGGTGAGGCAATGCGGACTTCATTCCTTCTTCACTCGATTGGCTACAAAGCGCATGTTCACAGACCAGCTCTTACCCCGCACATTCTTTTATTCTTGATTCTTGACTACTATGCTCCACTACACGTTCGATATGTGACATGTACTCTTTGTTGATGTCGATCCTCATAGTGGACCAGGTACTTAGACGGGAGAACGATGCATGACAATGAACCAGGGATGTAGAGATGCGAAACGAGCACCAATCCCTGCTTTCAGATCGAGATCCTGCGTCTCCAGCAGCTGATATCTGCAAAATGCTAGATGTACGGCGCTTCCATATTGAATTCGACCGGCCCTTATGACGAGCCAGTTTTCAGGTAACTTGCATCACGGACGCTGCGGCATATCGACGTCAGAATTTGCAGCGCCACGACTCAAAACGAGCACCGTAGTATTTCCGCATGCACGAGCATCAGATATGGCAGCCCGGAAGGGTCTTCTTTGCGGCGTGCCCAGATGATCGTCCAACACGTGCCGTGGCGGTTGACAACGCTCAGATGGACGCCTGGAAACGGCGATGTGATAAGGTTTGATACGGCGGAAATGACAGCGGCAGGCATTCCAGCACATCAGTTTGCACTTCCTGGGAATATGCCTCGGCAATGGTGCATTATCCGGTGCAGGGAACATGGCGCTAAAGTCGGTCTTGCGGGGTGCTACAGACCAGAGATCAGATCTTACTGAGATTCACGATGGGCGAAAGCAGCGCGAGCTTACGAGAAGACGGCATCTATGCGGGTTGTGATGTTTTCGAGTCCTCTAGACATGCACTTCTTCACTGATGGGGTAGGCCCTGGTCTTACGTATCACTTGGTACGATTATGGCAACCACCTCGACATCATGGCTTCTACACTGGCTCCGTTATCCTTCATTGTATAGCGGACGAATCATGTAACTTTAGCAGTCCAGGCGCGATCGTAAATTGCTCTTCGTCAGTCAGGATCATCGCCCAAGTTTATCGTATACTTATGTACCTAAGGGGCGTTGGTTCAGAGTAAATAATGGTCGGGGAAGCTTCGTATTGCAAGATAAATGGTAGAGCGAGTGCATCTCGTTCGTTGCCAGGTGTTTGAGGGCTCGCGATCGTGCTAACAATTTGTGTACCGGGCAGAATGTATCAGAGCGGGAATAGTCAGCATGGGTGGATAATATGGCATAACCGTGCCCGCGGATGAGGTTACCGGTACTGCGCAGGTGCCCTGGTCTCGGTACCTGTTTACCGCCAGGTGGTCGGGCTTTTTCTCGCCTGAGCGTTCGCCGAGCAAGCCGTACGACTATTTTATAATGCAAACATTTCACCAGCTAAACAGCTTGTTTACTTTGGTATTTCATTCACTGAGTTGACCTGATGTCTAACTGTTTGCCGATTCTGCAATGCACGTTGATATCATAGTATCACAAGGCAGGCAAGCCCAGTCAGCAAAAATATTCTACTATCAAAGAGTGCTCATATGCGCCTCCAGTACCACGCAACTGCCCTGTGTTTCCCTGGATGGTGGTGCAAGAGCGTACTGTCGGCACCGCCAAAGAACTCAAGGAAGCTAGAGATCCATCGGATGTTTCTAGGAGCGAACTCAATCCCGCCTATTCTCATGGAAATAGCCGGTGTGGTGTTCCAAGGAAGAGTGCGCGCGATGGAACGGAGTCAAAGTAAAATACATGAGAAATAGAACTAGATGAATGAGTGGGACCAAGACAATTAAATGCAAGGTCTTTGAAGACACGTTCTCGTTCGCTAAGTTTACTTAAGTTGTGTATACCAATAACATGAAATTAAAACTTGCGCCAGCTAGAAGCCATATCTTTAGATGATAGGCAATGCAGCTTACAATGAATGGGTAAAACCGCGAACCCATTATAGTCGTTCTTGGCGTGTCACAGATGTGGCGGCGAAAGGTTTTAGCAAATCTTGTGTTTCTAGTCTATTCCTAGATTGAATGGTAGAGATCAAGGGATATGGAAATCTATTGTACGGTAGAAGTAAAATCGTAGGTACATTTCTTGACCAGACTCGATGTTATCTTCGGAAGTCCTGTCAACATGTCGCGGTGAAGGTTCCCTCCATGCGGACCATGTGCTGTTACCTCTTTGCGCGCAGGTAAGTAAGTGTCAGGATAGGTGCGGAAAGCCCGGATTGACGGCGTGGGTTTAGCATGTGTCGGAAATTTCCTGTCGATTGGTTCATACCGAGCTCCGTTTTGCTAGAAGCTTCCACAGAACTTGATCATTTTCTGTGAAGAAAGTGAGATATTACTTACAGAGCAATAGTCCGCAAAGATAGAGATAGGTAGGGATTTTTCTAGCAGTTGTAGTAGCAGACACCAGAAGTAGTGCAGCCGCCGTTTGCACATTGCTCATTGCTGCTGCATGGCTGGGGAGTCTGGTGGAGGCACTTCTGTCGTGCAGCCAGAGGAATGTCAGGTAGCACAACGGGACTAGAGAGAAGTGACTTTTGTGGAGCTCGTGCAGCCAGAGGAGGGTTGGGAGCAAAAGCAGGAGGAACATATGACTCTTGTGGAGCTCGTGCAGCCAGAGGAGGGTTGGGGGCAAAACCAGGAGGAACATATGACTCTTGTGGAGCTGGTGCGGCTGCAGCCATTGATAGGCTGAGGAGGACGGTGGAGAGGATGTGAGTGAGCTGCATGGCTGTCGATTGTTGCGCGGATGGTAAGAAGATTGAATCGAATTGTTGAAATTGTTGTATTCTAACAAGTGCGAGGTAGTGGGATTATATATATGTTCCGTTGCCTAGTAGAACCACTTTTACAGGGCCGGCTCTTGCGCAGACCAAGCGTCAAATATCTGACCATGGGGAGGTGGGTACTGTAACCCATCCAAGGCAAGGTCAAGACACGTCCTGGCCGTAGCATTGACCACTGAAATCCGGAAGTCGGTCCTTCGCTGTAGTGGCTGTTGGTTGTTTCGTCCCTGGTTCTCTAGCTCAAGTGGACTGTCTCTCCAGTCTCCAATTTCTATGGTCTATCGAACGACTCAAGTGTTTCAGCACATGAAAAAGTCTACTACAGCGAGTGATAGTCAGCAGATAGAGTAGCTGTACATGAAAAGTAAGTATAATGATTGCCATCCAACAGCTGCACTGGGTCGGGAGCACTTCGGATTCACCCGTGGCGAAGACTCTTGGTAAAATCCACTGTAGTCGTAATAAAGCCGAGGTGTGATCCGCCCCATACCGCGATCTGTAGTCAATGTACGATTATTTACCTACTCACTTCGAAACGGCCATCCAGTTTGCTTTAAGGTCCAAATGTACGCGGATCATATTTCTCCTTGGCCCTGTCGTCGCTCATGATGGTAAATCCAACGGTACGTTTCGTAGACACGGATTCATCGTCTTCTTTCGTGGCAGCCACAACTTAACCTGATCCTTCATCTAGATGGCTCATCTGAGCTGAATGAGCTTCGGTGGGATGTGACCGCTATCAGGTGAATCGCCTTAAGTCAGTGTGAACGAACGAGCTTCGGCAATCTCTCCTACGCAGCTGGCATTCAGCGTCGCTGTCATAGAGAGCGCGCGCCATGTTCCGTCCATTAATCATGACTGGGCGTCCCCTTGACACGACTTCCTATACATGAGTCACGCCAAAAAGTATCGAGAGAGGCGGCACACAGTCGGATCCGGACGGCTTCTTTTCTATGATGTCGGAAAGCCGATGGAAGTAGGAAAGATGCTCAAGAATGGGCTTTGAAGATTCATAGTCAACAGTGGATTGGCGCGAGCGCTTACTGTAAAGTGTGAAAAGAGTCACCACCAACCCTATCCCTCTGTTAGAGATATCCCTATTGCACGAGCAGCTTGGAGTCGCGCAGCGGGCGCGGATCGAGATGTTCGCAAGGCCAAGGTGTCGCCTTCGAGAGAACGGCCGAGCAGTCTTACCAGCTAATTTGTTCGATGCCACGTTCTTGGTATCGATCTTCATGGCGGTGGGTCTGCGACTCTGCGCCCTGTGGGAGCAGCCCTAGGTACAGTCGTCGGTGAAATTGGCATGAATCATGTTGATCTGGCATGCCAACTGCGCAGAGGAGAGACATACCCGATCAGTTCCCGAGGCGCGTGTGTGACAATGCTCGTTCAAGGTGTAGACTAGGTACCAAGTGAAAACCAGGTCCTGGTGTCAGAAAGAGTGCCCAGGTGTGTTTGAAACATGGAGTCCGAACTACGAAGTACATCGATGACGAACGACGGAGGTCAAACCCGGTCATGGTGTGTGCGCGAAGGATCTGTGACATCGGACAATTCAAAACAGCACAGCGACGAAAGAGATTGAGATACCGACGCGTGTACCACGAGCGGCGTTCGTCATACACGGCTTAAGGTTGCAGCGACAAGTGCTTACGATACCTCTTGATCGAGACCAGAATTGCTGTGGTTTGCGCGCGAGCGGACATCTACGGCATCCGTTTCCGCAATGTCGGAGGCCGCAGGACTGGATTCCACGCGCTTAATTTTCCAAGTTCTCTGAAATGACGCACAGACCACATGGAAACCCACACGCAATAGACAGCGCGAAAATTAAATAGCGCAAGATTAATTGATATCTGGCACCCGTTGCTGCTGCTACTCTTGAAAAGGGTTTTGCTGTGGCTTCTTCCTCGAAACGATGCCAGAAGGCTATCGAACTCAATGAAAAAGGCGGGTCGCGTACGTTCTCCGGTAGTGTGAGGGAGACGACACTGTGCCGATGGATATGAGCAAGCCCAGTGATCCATCGACGAGTTTCAAAAATAAGAATAATCTTGAAGACCTCGTAAGGTCGTTTCAGAGATTAAACTGAAAAGAACAGACTGGACAATCGTTAGCAAGGAGCTGGCTCAGATCAAGTGCCAAGGCCTTGATTATGTTCCGAAACTCACTACTACACTTGATCTAAGCCAAAAGGCAAAGAGAGCTAAGGAGGAGAAGAGGAGGGCGAGGGGCGGGCGGAATATATAGGCGTGAGAGGCCGCTAGCACTAGCGGCGTTGCTGGGCCGACGGTGATGCTGACGTAACAGACTGTTGAGTTCCCTGGGTGCGGTGGCGGTGACGTGGTCCCGTAAGTGAAGGTGGGTGGAGTTTTGGTGCTCTCTGATCAGGTAAAGGCAAAGGCGGCGCAACCAAATATTGTCGGATATGGTGGCGTTTGTAAAATTAATCGCATGTGACCTGTGAGAACACGAAAAGAGTCCCATGGGAGGAAAATTAGTCTTTTGCGGCAGTTAAGTCTACGATGTCCACTTAAACTGGCAAGGTGGGCGATGTTCAGTGACGTTCTCCTTCGCTTCTATTTGCTAAGATATGCTTGACTGCTAGTTCGTGGAAGGACATGGAGATGAGGCTGCGAGCAATGTGTCAATTCTTGTTGTGTATGCGGAATCTATCATTTGACTGCACGGCTAGTAAGCACTCTTTACGGCAATCCTGGGAAACTTGAGCTTATTCTTCAACAGTAGCTCGTCACTCTACTCATTGCCGGTCGTTCAGGCAGTCATTGTCAGCAAATTCAAAGTTCCACCAATGTTGGCATCACGTGATACGCGCGCTTGAAGTAATCGTACTCAATCAGCGTTGCAGCGTTTTTGGCAGTGCCACAAAGCCCAGGTAGGCACGAGTCTGTTATGAAATCAATTCTGATACGCAGATGCAACAATATATTCTCCAGCTTCAACGCGAAGTGATAAGTGTAAGGAATTTGTGAAGTGCGGTTCTAAGGTTTGGCGTTGCAGTTCGCAGCCGCCAATCGCGCACAGGGTCGCCCAACCTGGGCAGCTGCGACTCATCTCCCAGCTCCCACATCAGCCGGCCTTTCTAACGCACGCCCTCTTGTCGCATGTGCGAAACTAGGGCACGTGAGTCTTCGCGAAGTGGAAGTACACTCGTCTTGCGATAGCCGCTACAGCCTCGGGCACGTTGAGAGTATTGCCAGCGAGTCAGTACTGCACCAATGAGACAACTTTGCTATACGCTGTGCGACTGATGAGACACGATTGGCGTAGCTATACGGCAGGTGCATTCAGGCCTGGCGCCTGTTCAGCCCCTCAGCCTGAGGCCATTCGTCAGCAATTACATCGCTCACTCAGCCTTCGCTCGATTACATTGTCATCAAGTTAATAGTAAGAAACCATGCGGCTTATCAACACTGACACACACCTATTTGAGGAGGTTTTAGGGCGCAATATACCGGATTATGCCATCCTGTCACACACGTGGGAAGAGGAGGAAGTGTCCTACGCATATTATGCCGAGAGCAAGCGTCCGCGCAAGAAGGGGTTCGCGAAGATCTACAAAACATGCGAGCTGGCCGCTAAAGAACACATTCCATATGCATGGGTTGATACGTGCTGCATCGACAAACGCAGCAGCGCTGAACTTACAGAAGCCATCAACTCGATGTTTCGATGGTACCAGAGGGCGAAGGTGTGCTACGCTTTTCTGTCGGATCTGCCCACAGTCGAGAATAGCGAATACGTTTAGCATCCTCATGAACATGTAACATTATGTTCATACCCCTAGGTTCACTCGAGGCTGGACTTTACAGGAATTGATTGCTCCTCAGGAAGTGAAATTTTTTGACTCTTCATGGAACTACATAGGTAAGAAAGTAAGCTTGGTGAGTACACTGAGTAGTATTACCCATATCCCAGAAGACGTGCTCCGCATGCGGATTGATCTAGCGACCATTCCAGTGGCTCAAAAAATGTCTTGGGCAGTAGATCGAAGAATTACTCGAATCGAAGATACGGCGTACTGTCTTTTGTAACTTATGATCCAGTATCTTACCTAGGTAATACAACTGACGAAATGAGGGGCCTGTTCGATGTCAACATGCCACTCATGTATGGCGAAGAAGAGAAGGCCTTCCGGCGACTACAGGAGGAGATCATAAAGCATACATCCGATCTGAGCATATTTGCTTGGACTGCTCAATTCCATTCGATCCATGGATCTCAAGATCACGTCTACAGCAGCGTCTTGGCCAGCAGCCCTAATTACTTCTCTTAGTGTAAGGGAATGCACTTGCGCATCAGTGCTCAAAAGAACGGATTACCAGTATATAACGACCGCGTAAGGATTGATTCGAGAATCATTGCATGTAGGACACAAGGAGAGCGACCAGGATGGAGATACGTGTTACCCATACACCACTATCAATTACCTAGGAGAGACGTCGGATCATTAGCAATTGAACTTCGAAAAGTTGGAGAAGATCAGTATCTGCGAAAGGATCCTTCCAAACTCATCGATATAACAGGCCTCACATATCTTGATTGCCACGGTACATATCAGCTCTTCTTCGACCCGCCAGTTGTACACGGATTCCGCGTTCGCCACGATGTACCACCAAGTTATAATGGCAAGGAGTATATTCGAAAATTACGTTGCAGTACAATGCGCTTCATATTTGGCCCTAACGTCCAACCCATGGATTGTTACCCAGAATCACGTTATGACCACAAGGACGGCCTGTTCTTCACAACTGTCGAATACGACTGCAGTGACTGGGGCATATTGGAAGGGCAAGCAATATTTGAGTCCAACCTGAGCCCTGCATCAGGCCCACTTGCTATCAACTATACGGTATGCACTACCTCCTGGGGCGCGAATGCGGTGTGGCCAAGCTGCTCGCTACTACCACCAGATCATACCCTGCTTCATGGGACAGAGAGTTTGAAGTCGGAAATATCAGGTCGGAACGTCGAGAACGAAGGCCTGCTACGAATCCTTGTCCGGAATAGCGTACCACGGAATTATCAGTCAAATGTGCATGTCCCTGGCACCAATCAAATCGCTGTTATGGTCTTCACGTGCGATAGAAGTCGAGATTCTTCCCAGCATGGCACATGGGAGATGCATGTAAGATGCTCTCTATACGAACGCGGCAAAGAACCACAACTACCAGAAGCCAGTTCGTGGGACAATTAATATGAAGCACTCTGTCGTGCTTGGTAACAGAGACCCGATATCCAGCTTGATAGAAGAGTAATGGCTGTGGTCCTAGGGCAGCTTCCCAGCATCACAAGGACAACGTGTTTTTCGTATCAAACGAGAACGACTTTCACAGCGATTGAGGCATTCTCAGGCTGTCCGTGGAAACATACACTGACTCAACGTGCATGACTTTTCCATGCGCTCTACACACAACATCTTGGGCAAGGAAACGCGGACCGCAATGCTCGATATTGTCTGAGCAGGCCTACGATGCTGAGCTCAGAAGTCGACAGTCAGATTTGGCAGCATGGATTATGGTACTGGAAATGTACTCGACTCCCTTCAACCAAGAAAAATACCATGTGCTTCACGGGCCATTTTGAACGTTCCTGGTACCAAGTCTTACGCTCTCATCACAATCACATGCGCGGCCAGGGAGGACATACCAGGTTGGATGCCATGTGGCAGTGCTTGGGATGTTCATGTCAAAAGTTCTGTGCATGAAGGAGGGGAACTGTCTCCTGTGCTGACGCCCAAGCAGTGGACGCTTAGCAATGACGGTCGCTATGGCTGACTCTTTCTTGTTTCATTGGCTATCGGGCTATCGAAGTGTAGCTATAGGACCTCATACGAACATCAAAATTACTCTATAAATCCCAGCAAGGCCGTTTCAGCGGCTGAAGCGACTCATTGTTGCTTACTCCCAGAATGTTCGTTTCCAGCGCTCGTGCGCAAGCCACAGACAAGGCTCCGCCCGGTCTCATGACCTTGCATTTCCATCTAGGTGTCGAAGGTTGAACCTACTTGATCAGGCAAAACTAGAAAGCAGCTTTCTGGTGTTCTTGCATTGAGGAACTTCTATAGCTGCGAGGCTGGCTGTGTACCTACCTAACGTAGCGTAATCGTTCCTGATTGGATCTTACGCCCAACCACGCCACATTTCTCCGCAACGTGAAAATGCTAATTCGGCATTTGTCTCTCTGGCAAAGTACGCAGACTTCCTCGAACGATGATTGCTCAAGACTGTTCGCACCCTCGTGCAATTGCCAGCGAATTCAGGGTTTTTTCGATCACAAGACGAGTTCTCACAAATCTCCTGTTGGGCATCAATGCGCCATGTCTCCAGCTGCTGCCCTCGAGAATGCTGAAGTCGTCAGGAAATTGCAAGAGTTAGCAAGTTCAGAGCCGAGCTATCCTAAGCAATACCAAGACATCGAAGACAGCCTCGCACACCCTTACTTACGGCCCGACACAAAGCGGGGGTTTGTCATAGTCCGTGCTGTCTAGGGTACATCTAGCGACGCGCCCTGGGTCCAGATGCTAGAGCTCTTTCGCGAGAACGTTTTGAAGACACTGAGGTTAGAACACTAGATGGACTTGCTTCCACGTCACGAGATAACCATGACCGAGGACGAAGCAACACTCGCCGCTGCAGACACACAAGCAACTATATGATAACTGCGGCAACTAGCACGCCGCATCTAGCAAATACAAGACTGAGAACGACACAGAGAACGACACAGAGAACGACACACCTAGCAATTATAGTCCAGGCAGTAAAGTCCTGTTGACGCACTACACACCACTTCACACAGCGGAGAAGAGATAGAAAGAAGGACAGGAAGAAGCGAAGGAGAAGGAAGAAGGGCAGAGAAGAAGATAATAGCTTAACGAATGCAATACCTAGAGATACCTAGAACAGGAGTGGATGAGTCTGTGCAACAAATAATGAATAAAGTCAACCAAAACCATGTGATACACTGCATCTACCTGCAAGGATCTTAAGCTTTATGGGAACATACTAAGCTAATTAGGCTGTAAGTAAGCTCGGCGCTGAAGAGTAGCTGCGCTGGCGCACGAGGCAATACCTAGCACGAGGGTACATGGTTCCGCTCCACCAGCTGACCGATCTCTGGGGACGGGTACTTGCCGATAGTGATCTCTTTGAAACAAGCAGGCTTTTAGTGAGTGCAGATGATGGACAGCCGAAGGCATGTGCAACAGACGAGGGAACCGCAATTGTCGATCGGGGTGACGATCTTGGAGGCAACAGCTGTGTAGATAACATTAGCAATGCTACTTGACACCGTCGATGAGACCACGTGGCGGAGCTTGCGGTGGATGAGATGCTGCACTGTGTAGATGATACCGAGGATTTTACGGCGATTACTACGAGCCACCAAGTCACTGTGACGTCAAAGAGGCCGGAGGCGGCGCATTGTTAGCAGTTGCCACGACGACATGGAAACATCAAACCTCGCAGGAAATTATGCGCGTGTCTTTGTTTCGAGATGAAGCCTGAATGATATTCGTGTGAGAAGTCGTAGTGCTGATCAAGACACACTGGAGTGCTCTCGCGGTTGAAGGTTCCAAATCTGAGACACAATTCCTTGAACAGAAGAAATCGGCAATCATTCTTTGACTACGAGTATGAGCTTCAGCATAAAGGACCCTGCGAATGTGCTAGAAATCCGAGTAGTCCCGTAATAACGCTGTATCAAAGCTCGCTAGGGGCTGCTAAGTCTATGCTGCTCGTGGATTGGGAGCAAGGTGGCAGTGTAAGCTAGTGGGGTTCACTCTCCACTCTTACTGATTTTTCCCACACATGGTATACACATCCGCATGCTGAAAGCCTCTCGTCAAACACTAATCACCAACTCCTATCGTGTAAGAGTTCATCCTCTTCTATCATCCCAACCTCCATGCCATGTTGCCCGGTGGAACTGCCGAGTAGCAGCCACTTCTTCGGGAAGTACTTGTAGCATGCAACAACAGCACAGGGCGGAGTAGTAACGCATCACCCTGCTGAGATGAAGGAATTGATAAACAAGACCAACCTTCAGCGGACCTTTAGCGTGCCTTTTGGTACGAAGGCGCTCGTGTTTCTGAAGTGATTCGGTCCGAAGACCCTGAACCTGTCCTCGAACGGAGTCTGTCTTCGGACCGACACAGCACGTTGCTTCTAAGAGATCTACTTGTGGTAGTTCAGTGCCCAAAGTATCACGGGGTATGATGATTGAACCCTTTCCGACTAGTGTCTACTACTCCAAAACGAAGTGTATAAAGGATGGCACCGCGATGAGCATGAGTAGCATCCTCTCGCGCATCCTCCTCTTATACACGCGGACCATTTCAACCCACTTTTTCACTCAACAACACGATGCTCCTTTCCACACTGGCTTGCCTCGCCTCTGCCTTGGCCACGTCCGCTTCCGCGATACCTTAGTCTAGTAGAAACACAGACAACGAACCCAATCAGGCTGCCCTGGAGGCCTGGCACGCAGACACCAATGACACGACGACTCTGATCATCGGCTCGAGCTTCTACACCAAGATAGACCCACCCCCCGGGCTCGACAAACGCGACTGCGTCGGCGGGACCCATGCCGAGGCCAACGTTGACCGCACGGGGCATTATTGGAGTGACTGGTCCAAAGTCAGCGGCTGTCAGTTCACCGGAGACAGCTCGGGAGACTCGTCAATCAGTATAGACACGAGCCAGACCATAACTATGGAAGTTTCTTTGAATTTTGACCCTGGCCTTTCGAGCGCATCGTCCATAGCTAAGAATATCAACGCGGACGGAGGTTTGAATCTTGGCTTCTCGTGGGGTAAGAGCAAGACTACCGGAGTCTCATATCGGTGCAATATCCCGGCGCACTCCGTGGGTTCGGTATGGCAGCGTAATCTCATAGGCTGGGCGGATACGGCGCAGAGAAGATGCTCAATGGGCTGTGGTATGGAACCTAGCTGCGGTCCCTGGAAGTTTGGCCACATTACTTTCCCCCTAGACGTCGACTCGCCGACCAGTCGGGACATGGGTTGCTCAACAGGTGCGGCGGCTCAGTGTTCGTAGATAAAACCAAATAGCAGACGTTCTTGTTGGACACTGACAACAAGATTGAAAGTGTTCGCTCTGCTGAGATCAATACAAACTCCCATTATGATCCCACGCTCTTGCACGATTCGCTTACCTGCCTTCACTCTGCAGTAATACACAAATTAGCATGCCAGATACCATTGTCTTCACATGCCACTCACACGGCCCTAATCATCTCACATGTCGACATCATAAAAGCAGCCAAAGTACAAAAGCATCACTTACGAAAATGCAACTCGTAAACCGCGCAAAGAAGAGGAGAGAGGGTACATTGTAGTCTAAAATCCACAGTTTCGCTTGTTATAGTGCAAACAGCTTTCGGAACTCATCATCCCTCCAGAAACCAGTCTTTCCTAAAGTCATGCACGAACTCAATCCAAACCACATCCTCTTCTTTGCAGTCAGGCCGCAATAGGCCCAAAGTGTGGTATGCTTGCCAAACGTAAATTCCAAGTGAGCACAGTAGCCCAAAACACGTGAGCTCAGTTGCTTGTCCAATGTCTTCTTCCGAGCGCGCCGTGAGGGCAAGGCACAAACCACTTGCGTTTAACACAACTGATAGCTTGTCAAGGTTTGCATCCAGTTTGCGTAGCTTTGGTTTGAGCCCAGGATTACTACCTGCCTTGAGCTCCCAAATCTGGAGTCAACACGCGAGAGAAAGAACCAAAAGCGGTCCATGATAACCATATCTACCGGGACGCCCCTGGCCTCCCGCCTTTTTTTGTTCTCGATAGATAAGGCTTACCTTTCAGTGTAACAGCAAACTCTCCAACATGTTCGAAGCGAGAGAGTACCACAAGGTTGACGCAAGGCAGACTGCGCCTCGAACCCAAGGCTGAAACATGCCCACTGCAAAAACGCCTCGGATAATCGTTATACTCGGCAACTCTGATGTATTGGTAATGCAGCTCGCTTGATTTTGTTGCACAGAGATATTCTACTGTTTTCGAAAAGTTTATCTTGCACATGAAACAACCATCGAGTTTGACGGTCGTCTACTGGAAGCTTTTTACATGTCTCTTTTCGCGCCACCAACGCAATAGCCGCGCGACCGAGATGAGATGGACCGCTGTCTACCGCAGATATCTATACTAGTATTTGAGGTCAAAACCTCATGAGCAGCCATTGCAATCCGGATCGGGATTGTTCTTCCATGTCCTCTGCACCACACCCTTTGCAGATCTCGCCGCAGTCCCCGGTTCCAACTCCAACACGCTGACCACATTATCTGCGTCTTGTTTCAAATATGCGCCAGGCACGAACAACTCCTGCTGCGGTCCAATTGTCCAGTACCTCCCCAGGTTGTATCCGTTCACGAAGACCACACCTTTGACGCCTCCCGGCAACTGCAGGAAAGTGTCGGCAGCCATGCCAGAATTTGACGTCTTGAAAGTCCCGCGATACCAAACAGGCGGGCTGTTTGCAGATACGGTCTTGGCTGATCCGCTGAGATTAGGTGCGCTGTCAAGCGGGAAGTTGTAGTGATTCCAACCGATGATTTTCGTCCCGCCTACCGTCACATCACCGGACACACCCTTGCTCTGGTCCGAGAAGCCGTTATCAGCGCGCCCCAGGTTCTCCACAAGGAGCCAAAGCTTGTCGCCCTTGTTTAGGCTTATGTTCACCGTGCTGGGGTTCTTGTAGATTGAATCGATCACGCCTTTCTTTTGGCCGTTGACGTAGACGATCACGCGGTCGCGTGCGGCGCCATTGCCTGGTTGTAGGCGGCCAGAGGAACTACCCGTTGCGATTGACTCGTAGAGAATGTAGCCGAACACCTGGCCGGTGGCTTCCATGACGAGCGGCGAGGACGAGGTCCGAGGGTTCGTAGGCAGGTTGTCGAACATGCCCAGCATCGGCGTCAAAGCGAACTCAGAAACAGAAGCCAGTGCAGGAGTGGAAGGAATAGCAGGAATGTTGGAGACATGCTTCGCAATCGCAGTGCGGAAGTAGTTGTAAATCTGAGAAGGTCGACCAGTCTCGTCAAGCGGCGCGCCATAATCATAACTTGTGGTGAACGGTGTGCGCGGCGTGGTATCTCCAGAACCAGCTCCAAAGGCAAAGCTTGTACCGCCGTGAAACATAAATATGCTGAAATGATGGCCGTTGGTGAGCATCCAGTCCAGGTCGTTTGCGCGGCCTTGCATGCCATTTGTGTCGCGATCGTATGAGCTGTGTCCATTCTTGGGTCCCCAGTTGTCAAACCATCGGATCCAGTACTCACCATTCATGGCTGGTCCAATGCTGCTGGCATCTGTGATGGCCGATCTGAGCGTTGTGACACCATTCTTCATATCAGTGCCATCAAATACAGCAAGAGCGCCAGGCACCTGCCCGTTTTTTAATGCGCCTGCATTGTTCGCGTCGTTCGTGTACAGCTTTGTGTTTGGGAAGTTGGCCTTGAGGATGTCTGCGAGCTTGTTCGTGTATGTATGATCGCTGCCCGCCCAGCCGTACTCGTTCTCGACTTGTACCATGAGGATAGGTCCGCCATTCGCGATGAGAAGTGGTTGAAGTTGTGCACCAACTTTGGTAAGATATTTATTTGTCGCGTCGAGGAAAGGACCATTGTTGGAGCGATGCTTCATGCCAGATATCTGGGGAAGCCATCCAGGCATACCGCCCCAGTCGCGCTCGGCGCAGACGTAAGGTCCCGGACGAAGCACAGCCTTCATACCGGCCTTCTGGATTTCTTGAAACCATGCCGCTATATCATTCTTGTCGGTGAAGTCGAACTGACCAGGATGCTGTTCGATGTCTTGCCAGTACACGTACGACAATATGGTGTTGAGTCCCATCGACTTAGCCATCTGAAGGCGTTGTGGCCAATAAGCACGTGGGACACGCTGGGGGTCGATCTGGCCACCGATGATTGAGTATGGCTTTCCTTCAATGTAAAAGGTATTCTTATCCCATGAGAAAGTACTGTTGGCTTGTGCAGCATCTGAAAGATCCGAGAAGTCTGTAATTGGAGTCGCAGCAACAGCTTGCACTGCCGCGAGGAACGACACAGCCTTGAACACCTTCATCTTGAACTTAAGAAGATCTGGTGATGTTGTCGCAGACGTACCCCATTGTGATGGCTTTATACATCTCTGTGCGAGTCCTGGAGTAATCGCAAACGATCTTGATCAGCTAGGTGACACGGGCATTACTTATTTTCCGTCGACTAAAGCTCAAGATTTAGATTAATTTGATTATGCTTAGCAGGAAATAAGGTTTCTCTGAGATCTCGCTTCCCCGCAATGCAGCTCGGGAAAATGTCCGGGAGCCAGGATAAAGCCGGCAGTATGCACTCAGCTAGATTGTTTCACGGTGAAATATCTTGTAATCTGAGGACGGATTGTGATGCCACCAATAGCATTTGAACTGAGTTAACGGGCTTATCCTAGACCATGCGTGCAAGACTCGACGCTGAAAAAAGCTTCACATTTCTTTGGCTGAAAGTGAGCACGACTGTTTCTTTACCTACTAGAGTTCGTGTGAATCATGCTGATCGGATAACCGCTCAAGGTCATTTATGATAGAAGGCTTCCCAAAACAAATGTCAACTAGAACCAAAGATGCTAGCCAGCTGTTATTAGCCTGGTGTTGTACTGTAGCAGTCACCAAGTAGAAATGGCCCTGTATTGCTGCATTTTAGCAACCTCGCATATTTTTAGCAAAAGAAACAGTGATTCAGATCTGTCAAAGACAACTGATTTCTTAGCCATCTAACAAATCTACACTTCCTTCCCCTGCATCGCCCCCGCCGCAGCGTGATTCGAAATCTACGTCGCGCTCTGAAAACCCTTAAAATTCCTCGCCGGCACGCCCTTCGCGAACATCTCACCCAGCCCCTGATAATTCCTCCCCGTAGTCTCCGGCTGATAAAGGAACAAATACACAAGACACAGCAAACACGTTCCACCAAATATGAACGCAATCTTCGCACCTAGGTTGGCTTGGTCCGGGTTGAACATGTACGGGATAGTGAACTGCCACGTGACATTGATGGCGGAGCTGAGCGCGAGGCCAATCGCGACGGTGTGTAGCGTAGAAAAGAGGTGGAGACCTCAGCGAGGAGTGAGAAGGCGGTGGAGCCGATGGAGACGTTGTACCACCATGAGTAGATGAGGATTAGGGCGACGGTGCCTTTTAATCATGGATGGGTTGGTGGTGTTCGTACCGAGGCCGCTGGTGATGAGGAGGAATGTGGTGAGGATGATCAAGCCGTAGAAGGTGAGGGCTCTGCGACCGACTTTGTCGATGATGGCGGCGGCCATGAGGTTACCTACAATGGATAGAACGGGCTGTGCAATCTGCATTTGGAAACTTTTCTTGGTTGAGTATCCGGCTAGCTGGAGATAGTAGGTGAAGTAGCCTGCGACGAAGGCGATGCCGGAAAGTGATTGGATGCACATGGGCATGGCGCTGATTATTGTACGACGGAGGTTGGATTTGCGGAAGCATTCGGCGTAGGTGACGCCTGCGGTTTCTCTCTCGACTTCTTCGAGCGGGACTTGGAAGAGCAAGAGCCGATGTGCGCCACGCTCGCCGGTGTAGCCCAGCTTATAGAGACTGGCGAGTGCCTTGTCATCCTTGCCTGTCGAAACAAGCCACCATGGGGATCTAAGAAGTCAATGAAAAGCCTATGTCCCATTATAAACAGCAGTTACTCAGGCATCCATGGCCAAATAATAGTCGCAACAGCTGCGAATCCCCACTGCGAACAGAATGTTATCCTATAAGCCCATCTGGTCTCAACATTGCCTGTGTAGTTGATGATGATGAATGCAACTAGAGGACCGATACCGTACGAAACACCAAGGAAGCAAGTCTAAATGCCGCGAGCTTGAGTGGTGCGATCTTTCCCACATAGCCTACCATCGTAGTAGCGATTATACCAATGGAAAAGCCTTGAATGAGCTTCCCAATAAAGAAGACCGCATTGGTAGTAGTAATGAACTCAATCGCAATTGCGACGAAAGCAATTACCAGCGCAATCAAAAGCGTGTATCGACGTCCAATCTAGTCCGCAATTTGTCTTGTGACGAGGCACGCAACAACTTTCCTGAACACCAGTGTGTTGGCATAATTACCCAGACTTACGGCAAATGATGAAGGACTCTTACGAAGCCGAAGGCGCTCCACTAAACGCACTCTGCCATCCCGCCGGAAGCACATATTCTCACGACCCCTCAGGAAACTCAAACCCAAAGTCCTTCCTGAACTGCGGAATACCCACGACCGCGCAGGATGCTTGAGTCTCGAACGCTACGAGAATGATGGTCCAGCAGGCATAGATGCACCAGAAGCACGCCCAGGGGTTCTGGCGGACAGTTTGCTAGATGGTCGAATCGTAGTCTTGGTCCTTGGTGGGAGACATCGTGGGAGATATGCAGAGGGCGCCTGGGGTAACTCCGTCTGGGGTAGACATATCTGGGGGAGTATTAATGCGGAGTATGGTGTTGTTGCTTGCGCTAATGATTGCTCCTTTCGGAAGGGATACTCATGTTTTAATATTCTACCGAGCTTGTAACACTTAAGGATTGTGCATGTTGCTCAAGGCACGTATTTGGTAGTTTGGCATGGTGATCACATCTTCGAGAAATCGAGCTTGATGGTCTACCGCTGTGGTTTCACCCGAGGATGCACACAAGATCCCTGAACCAACTCAATTGGCCCGCGTAATGTCGTTCAATGAAGTGCTGTTCAGAGGTCGAACCGGCTAGGATAATCACGACCCCGCAAACAGTGAATTGGCACGTCGACTGAATCGTGGGGTATTCAGATGAGGGAACTTAGGCACTGTGTGATGAATGTGCATGTTGAGGCGGGGAAGAGTGTGAGGTTTGATGCGTCGGAGAGCTGTGATCCGGATGGGGATGAGATGACGTTCAAGTGGTGGCAATATCGCGAGCCGAGTGCGGTGCAGACGTATCATACCTGGGAGGTAGCAGATCTTGAGATTCGGCCTTCTTCGGATGGGAAGAGTGCGGAAGTTTTTGTGCCTCCGCCTGAGAAGAGCTGTCAGGTGATAAGGTCGAATCCACTGCGCTTGATGGATAGAGGCGTGTCGCTACACGTTATATTAGAAGTAAAGGATAGCGGGAAGCCAGCGTTGACAACGTACCAGAGGCTTGTTATTACGCCTGTCACCAAGTCGGGTAGAGTAGAGTCGTAGGACATATGTTCACTCAACCTTGTAATTGCAAAACTTCACCTGTGCCTACTCGGTCGACACATTCAAAATCGCTTTGATTCGAGTACCAAACGCTAAGCCTGCCAGCCCATCTTATAACGCCATATCCTACAGTCCAATGCACTCAAGCCTTTTGATCCACGCACTTCTTCTACCCAATCTGTATCGCGCAAAAGTCTAAGTAAGCTTCTGCTTGATGAAGAAGGCTCGCAAGTGCGAAAGCTGCCACACGCAAGTGACACCGAGAACGAAGAGCTGGATAAGTGTCCACCTGACGACGCGCGAATTGGTGTGTTCGGACTGATCGCGGAACTCTGCTTCGCGCTCCTAGAAAGACGTTAGTATTCCCCATCATTACCACAAGTGGAATGGGATTCACGTACGCGCTGGAAGATCTGTTCCCTCCTGACATCCTGCAGCCTCGAGTTCAAATCCTGCACCTTCTGCACGAGCGTCTGCACCTTGTCCTTGTCGGTGCTCTCGATCTTGCTGGTCTCGCCAATTGCCATGTCGAGCGTGAACTTGACGGTGCCGTGCACGCCTGTGCCCAGCCAGCCGCCGCCCGAGGGGACGTTCTGTGGGGTGACGCAGATGCGGTGCTGGCCTGAGTCGGCGGCGCTGAAGGTAAAGCGGCCGGACTGCTTGCCTCGCTGGGCGACGATGCGGTGGTTGTTGTCGAATGTCTCTTCTACGGTGACGAAGACGCCGACATCACTGCTGTCCTGGAAGGATTTGGTCTGGTCGCTCCATGATTCGGCGTGGTAGTGGCCTGGGATTGTTAGCTCTCTGCTCATGCATACTATGCCAACTCTTCTGTAGAGACGTGACATCGCCACGCCACGACATACCAACAACCAAAGTGTCCTTGGGCAATTCCTCGTAGAAGCACTTCTGGACCGCGCCGTCCAGGTAGAAGTGGAGCGCTTGTGTCGGGAGCGCCAGCGCAGCAGCGAGTAATACTGAGGGTTTCCACATGTTGGTGATTGTGTTCCTCCGCTCGGATCTGGACGTGGCGCGGAGTTGTGGGCTGGTGAATTGGAGATCTCGAATGTTGAAGCTCCACGTTGCGGCTACCCTGTCCGAACCGCGCTAGTCTAGACCCTGGCCGACCATCTCTCCCTTCCGCGTCCTTCACACGCGCCTACCAAGTCTTCAGCGTTCCTGACTACTATGACTAGTTCCAAGTCACTTCATCTTTCAAAAGGTCCATTTGCCTATTGCACTTTCGGTAACGGGTGCTGCATAACGGAAAGTAGACAAAATTTACTTCATCTTCCAGTCATTGCCTGCTCTATTTTAGATTATCTTGACAGACTATATGCTCTCCGATGACATTCGTACTGACGAGGAGCATCAACAGTGCTCCGACCAAGTATACGGTCATGTAATCCTGAGTCGAGTCAGATTGAGGACATGTCTCGGTACATCCGAACCCCGCATGCAACATCAAGCGAATACCTAGGTAAAGAGCCATCAAAATCACAAAAGCTCAATCTCTCCTGTTCCTCTCTCACTTCTCCCCATATTCATTTCCTTGAACCCGAAAGGCCCATTATTGCCTACGTTGAAAACACAATTGGCTCATAACCACACCATCCCAAGTCTCCAACACTCCACCCTCACCCTCACCCTCCCAAACACCGCACCCATCATCAACCATCCCTCCAATGTCCCTCTTCACCCCAACAATCCAATCCCTAACCACCCTCTCCACCACCCCAAAAACCTTTCTAATAACCGGCTCCTCATCCGGCATCGGCCTCTCCACCGCCACCCTCCTCTCCACGCTCAATCCCTCGCACAACCTAATCCTCCTCGACCTTTCCCCCCCTCCCCGCTCCTTCCCGCACCCGGCCCAACACACACTCTTCCTCCCCTGCAACATAACCTCCTGGCCCGCCCAACGCTCCGCCTTTGCCGCGGGGTACGAGAAATTCGGGCGCATCGACCACGTCTTCGTGAACGCTGGGATCGCAGAATATGGCGAGCAGTTCTTCAATGACGAAGTGGATGCCAGCGGGCAACTAGCGGAGCCCGATCGGCGCGTGTTGCATGTGGACATGGACGCAGCGGCGGACACGACGAAGCTCGCCATCCACTACTTGCGCAAGAACGGGGGCGAGGGCGGAGGAATCGTCCTCACAGCTAGTCTTGCAGGGTATCTTGCGAGTGCGGGGGCGCCGCTGTATAGTGCTGCGAAACATGGTATGTGTTCTGGGAGAAAAGGGGATGGGGGAGGGGGGGAGTGTATGGCTGATTCATGTACAGGTGTGGTGGGCTTGATGCGCGCCCTCAAGCAAGAATGCCTCAAGCTCAACATCGCCATATCTGTCGTTGCGCCTGCCATCACCGTCACGCCGATTCTAAAGGGGAACAATAAACGCATGGCTGCGGAGCCGGACGTGTACGCGCGCGAAATGGCAAAAGTTGGCGTCCCCATTAACAAGCCCGAATCCATCGCCTTGGCCGTATGTTATCTCTTCAACGCCGGGCTTGCAGCGAGTGGCGCAGGAATCTTCGTGCAAGCCGACAAATTCACCGATCTCGAGCGCGGACTAGCCAAGAGCAGGGAAGTCTGGATGGGCAAGGAGATGCTGGATTTGTTTAGGGGAGGAAGGAGTGCGCCGCTGTTTGATAGACTGGAGGAGAAGGCCAAGATATGATGTGTGTGGAAAATAAATTATTGGTTTGTGGTATCTTTATATGTGAGATGGTAAAGAGGTGGAGAGGGGGTATTTATTTCCTCGCCCGCTTGATACTGGCTTGACTGCCTGAGCTGAGCACACTTGCGCTGCGCTTGTGCCCTTGACTTGTTGCTCGACTCGGCTGGACTGAACTCTCGTCTTCACCTTCAGCGTCGATATCATCCATATTGTGATCTCCATCGTCTTCATCTTCGTCGCCCTCAGCATCGTCGTCGTTGTCGCCCGGCCCATCATCTTCGCCGTAGTTTGGATTATCGTCATCCTCATCATTGTCCCCATCAGCATCGGGCGTACCTTGGGCTTCAGACTTGGGCTTTGGTGTCTCGCTCGTGCCTTCACCAGTTTGCGAGTTACCGCTACCACCCTCCTTCATGTTTTGTAGTACGCGGCATTCGCCTTCTTCCTTCTCGCGCACTTTGCGTACGTCGAGAAGTTTGCCGAGCTTGGAGACGAGGCTCTCGAACACTTCGCCGACCTTGCTTGTAGGAATGGGAACAATGTCTGGAACGCCAAGCTCTGCAAGCGCGGCGGCAATCTTCTGCGTTTGGACGTTGCTCTTTGCCTGACGCATCTTGAGTAACTTGTCTGCTCCGAATGTAACTCCGGATGTGAGTCGCTCATGCGTGGAGACATTAAAGCGGTGCTCCTGGTGTGGCGAGAGATGCTTGACGGGTGTTTGGGCCACAGGCTGCGATGCCATGCTTTGCCGCCTATTCGCTGCGGATAACTGTGCCTGCGCCGATCCAGGAGTGTGAACCATGTCGTTCGCACTAAGACTGAGTCTACCAGGTCCTGTGCCACCGCCAGATGCGCGCTTCTTACTGCGATCTTGCTGGAACAGTTGCTGAAAGAGTGTTTGTAGAGATTGTGATGACGTGAACGCCTGGAGGCCTGCAGATAGGGCTTGGTTGGGCTGTGGTGCGTCCAGTCTTGCTCGGAGCTCTTCGCGCTCGGCGTCGAGACGATTCGCTGCCATGTTGATGCGCTGAAGCTCTGTGAGGAGGAACTCCTCTTCCTTGACTTCGTCCATGCTGCGGTTCATCAAAGCAGTTGCCAACATTTTTCGATTGCGCTCCATTACGGGATCGAATTTGGAGAGCATCTCGTATGTGCTGTACTGCTCAGCATCCATCTGCACTTCTGGTATCCGTTGCTTCATCAGCTTCGCCGATATGCCGTAGAAGCGCGCTTTAAGGTCCTCCACTGTGCGATTCTTTTTGGGGGGAGGTGCAAACGGCATGGTAGCCAGCGCTTGGTCTGCCTCGCTGTTCGCGTTCTCTGTGCCTTCCTGAGCTTTGTCTGAGGGCTGAAAGTCGTACCGGTCCCATATCACCGCCCACCTGTATGCGTAGTCGCTGATCATCTGGAACAAATAATCCGTCTCTTCGCGGCTCCAGTCTTCGCTCGCAAGGTATGCCGTGTATTCGTCATCTGTAAAGGTGGGTAGGTCGACTTCGATGTTGAACTTGGCGTATTCGGAGCATACGTCGATTTGGGGTTCTGTGTTCTCGCCATCTTGCATGGTCGCATCTTCGGGAGCTTCTACAGGTGGTGCTGGAGCAGGTTTGCGCCGCCAGTGCTTCAAGACAAGACCGTCGCTGCGCGCGGGGTTCTTGAATGGCTGTTGTTCCCTACATCATGGCGATTAGTTCCAGACTGCACGCTGTGTATTGCGCAGAGCGTACCATTTCTTTGCGGGTCCTGTGTTCTGCCTTTTCGCTCGGTATGCCTTCGATTCTTCGTACACTGCGACCGGGGGAGGCCGTTCGCCATAGAGCGCTGCAACTTCTCGCGCAACACCAGCTGAAGACTGTTGTTAGCTAAAAATCCTTGATTCCTGGTTGCATCATTCGTGGGCACGTACGAATCTTTCGTGTTCCTCCCGAAGGCTTCGGTCGCTTTTGTACGCCTGCCTTTGGCGCATCACCGCCCATCGGCAGCCCGAGCATGTCGCGCACATCGCGTCCCGACGCCATCGCGGCGCAATAAAGTATCGAATCGGCGATGGGCGAGGGTTGTTAGAAGGCGTTGGTGATGGGTTTGCAGGGATGTGATTGAAAGTGATGTTGAGCTTTGTACTGGTGCTTGCGACGTGCGGCGGGCGCGACTGACAATTGACAACTTGAAAGTCCGAGCTTGAATTCAGGGTTCAGCCCTCCGGAACCAGCAGTTTTTGTCGAATGAAACAAAAGTCTCATGAGATTTTCTCAAGGGATTGATGTTGCTATGAATTAGACAGTCATGGTTTCATGACTATGGCGGCGTTCATCAAAAGTCGCTGCTTAGGTCTACTGCATGCACTCCATCAACCATCTCCCAGGCATCCCATCTTCTTTTCAGTCACATGCAACAGCATACATCAAAATAATAAGCATAAAAACAAACTTGAGAACTTTGGAAGTATTTCGTAATTTAACCTCCACAACCATCTACCTAGACAAGACCGGGATCTTGCACACTATCGTTCACAACGAACCAGATCCCGATACAGCGACTCCTTTACATGCTATGTTTTCTGCTCTGCTCTGACGAGCACAAAATGATGGATGGTGAAATGAAATGCCTGCTATCGCATGCCTCCCCAATCGCGACGCCGTAAACGCCAGAAAAGAAAAGGACTGCCAGAACGTGCTGCCCGCTCAATGCAAACTTGCAGCGCGCATTCGTCAAGTCGATGAAGGATGAAATGAAGGCGGTCCGCTTATTGGTCGTCGTAAGTATTACCCATAGAAGGAGATTTTCGAGCCCGTCTATCAATCATTACAAAATACCTATACAGGAAGAAAAAGCGTACGTAGCCCATGGAAACGGTCGCTCAGGATGGAACTCCAGGATGCAGCAGGATTATAAAGGTTCAGACGTGTCGGCCGGACTTGAACTATTTTCCGGCGCCGCAGCAGAGAACATTCATCAGCTTCTGCATTGCGCTGGGCTTCTCAGGTTGTTGTTGCCTGGGCTGCTGCGCTTGCGGGCTCGTCGCCGGTGCTGCACGGTTGGCCGAAGCCAGGTTCGACTGGCTGTGCTGAAACTGGGCCTGGGTAGAAGCTCCCTCGGGTGCAGCTAGTTCTCCCATGCTCTTCCTCTTAATCTGGGACTCCCTCTGTGCGGCGTCTCTTGGGCTTCTTCCTGGCTGGGCTCGAGTCGCTCCGGGCTTGGGAAGAGGCTCGTTTAAACGGTGATGATCGATCGGCAGGTGGGTCTTGTTCTGCCTGTGAGGCTGGCCGTGAACATTGACGGCAGTGGACGAGTTGTGATGAGCATTCTGGCTGTGCATCTGCTGGACCGCCGCAGTTGGGTGCGACTTCATGACCTCCCAGCCCTTGCCGTTGTTCAGCTTCATCCAGTCGTACTCGCCGTCTTCGATCTCGCCGGTGCTCTTGAGTGCCTGCGTGAAGAGCTCGCGCAGGTAGTCGTAGTCAGGGGTGTCCTCGAACCCGAGGTTGCGGACGTAGCTCAGGTATTTGTTGAACTCCTCTGTTATACGTTAGCGATGTTCAGACCGACGATGAGTCGTAGAAACGTACCAGGGAAGCTGTCGCAGAGATCCTTGATGGGGGTCGTCTGCTTTTTCTCTCCGATCTTCTCGTACTTTTGCTTATTAGTCGCCGCCTTGAGACCTTGCCATGGCAGCCCCCCGCGCAGGAAGTACATGAAAACGTGACCGAGGGCCTCGAGATCGTCTCGACGCGATTGCTCGCGTCCCAAATGGGTGTTGATACTCATGTAACGAGCGGTACCAGAAAGCGACTTGCGTTCCCTGTAGGGAATGTGCTGCTTTGATTTGGGGTCACGGTACTGCTTGGCCATGCCGAAGTCGACAACGTGGATAACGTTGGCGCTCTTAGAGCCGGGGCGGCCGATGAGGAAGTTATCGGGCTTGATGTCCCTGTAGATCAAGTTCTTCTCGTGGATTGTTTGAACTCTCGACAACTAGGGAGGGTAAGTCTGCGCTCGTATGACGCGTCGGTGGGGACATACCATCTGCTTTGCTACCATGACAACTGTCTTGATAGAAAACTTCCTGTTGCAATGATCGAACAAGTCCTCGAGACTGGGACCGAGCAAGTCGATCACCAGGATGTTGTGCAGGCCTTCTTGGCCAAAGTAATAAACATTAGGGATCCCGGCTACGATATGTCAGTCGAGGTTCATTGAGTTCGAAAATGGGTGCGGGCTTGTTGGGCTCTGTTGTCAGGCCACCCATCTGAAGCAAGCAGAGATGGATTGACAGCAGCGCAGCAACAACGTCGAATGGTGACGACAGAGAGTGCTGTCCGGTTCATCGACGTGTGCTGGCTCGAAACAAACATTTGGGTATGCCGAGCCATACACCGCCTCAGACCGCGAGTCACATGCACACGCAGCTGAGAAAGGGGAAGGAGCAACTTACGGCAGCCCACGAGGATCTTGTACGTGCGGTACTCATCGCGCAATTGGGGGGCGTCGCTCTTGCGCGGCTCGAACTTGATGGCAACCTGCTGCTGGTTGAGCAGGTTGGTGCCCTCGAAAATGACGCCAAAGCTACCCTCGCCGATCTTCTTGCCGACGCGATAGTGGACGCCCACCACGTTGGACGAAGAAGTGCTGCCGCTCATCTCGAAGGGTGGTCAAGATGTTGGGGGTGTGGGTGAAGGATCGAGGGTGAGTGTCGCGGTGCGCGAGCGTCTCCGGGGTCCTATGGGGGCTATGCAGCTACGCAGCCGACCGGCGAAGGGCGTCCGTCCTGGGGGAAGGCGAGCGATGGTGCTGCAGCGGCAGCGTGGAGAGAAATGGGAGGATAGCGCTGCGGCGGGGGAGAAAAATGGGCGACGGGCTGCGTGGGTGCAAATGGAGGTGAGGGAGGTAGAAAAGAGAGACCGAGTTTGGGTGATGGCAGAAGAAGGGGCGGGCTGGCTAGTGTCAATGCACCCTCCTCGAGTGCAAGTTAAACCACGTCCACGCCAGTCTGCATGCGGACGAATTGCATTGCATATCACAGCAAGAACACCAATAAATAGACCATTGCCATTCTTCGCCGGGCCATTGCCGCGCTTGCCTATTTCTGCGCGTCTTTGCTGTGCGACGCTGAGCCTCTCCCCCAGAGTCAGCGCGCTGCTGTCAACTGCCCAGCACAGGTGGGCCGTTTGCTGTACCTGCAGCGCTTGCCAGATGCCTTCCCACTTGCAGCACCCGCTCCGCCAACGCTTCGGAAATCAATTGAGCACGCGAATCAGATTGGGGAAGGTCGTCTCTTAGTAGCTCGCATTGCGCTGCTCTCTAATGCGGTCCAGTCACACGTGATGTTTCGGCTGAAGCGTGCAGGAGCAGGTGCACGTCGCCATGTACGTGTCTCCAGCCTCACCTCACCGCCTTGTATATCGTCTCATCTACCGCATCTCCTGCCTCCGCCCCAACGGCCCTGTTGTGCAACAACAACCTGTTTTGCGTCGTCGACGCGCGCCATCGCCAATCCTCGAGCCGATATCCGCCCACCAGCCTGCGTCTTTGTGCCCAAGCCACATCCCAGAATAACGGCCTTCGCCGCAATTAGGGTTGGCTTTTGATTGGCTCGGTGAACCTTACTCCCTCGCTCAAGCCCATTCTGTGCCCGCGCGCCGCTTCGAGAAATGAACGGTTCCGTGGGTACGGCATGGACGGACACGGTCTCGACTCGCATCGAATTGTGCTCGGCGTTCACAGCTCTTTCACCCAACTTGCCGAGTTTATGGCGGGTGCATATCCGAGGTCGTGGAAAGTCGAGCCGAAAATGCGGTCGTCAAGTATTGCCGGTGTTGCTGCCCATACCTCCAGGGGCTTTGTTCAGACAGCCCGATCAGCATAACATCACATGACCCTGTACCAAAGCATTTTCACCGTTCTGATATACACATTCATTGACCACCGACCCGCTGATGGGACACTGACAGCTGTCAAACTCTATACAAAACTACACAGCCGAACAGAAAAAAAGTAAATGTCGCTATGCGAGACCTTGTTTGTTTTGGAAATAACGCCGTTGCCCAATGCTTTGTCGCTGTCCCATGCCCTCCGCCCAATTGAAACCCCAAACATCGACCGAGTAACCTCAGTGGCCCAACATAAGAAAATCAACTATGAATCTTGCATGTCCACATCTGCCACCTCTCCGGCAGTCTGTGCCTGCTCGGCATACTCTTGGACCTGGATTGAGGGCACTTGCTGTTGGTGCGCTCCCCTCCACTCCGCTCGGTAGGCTTTCTTGCCAGCCTCGCAAGCAGCGACGAACCATTCATCGAGTCTGTTCTGCTCGATGTGCTCTTTCAGGACATCGTCGTCGAGCAAGTTGTCCTTAATGATAGGGTCGCGGATGTCCTCCGAAGAGAACCTCACACACAGCTCTCCGTGTGTGCCACCTGAACCAATGATATCCTGAAGCCTCTTGGGCCATCCGATTCTTGAGGTCGGATTTGCGGCTGCGTTCTTGTTAGCTTGTGTTCTTCGCAAATGCAGCCGTAGAGACTCACTGTTAAGGTGCATGATCTCCCGGAACACCCAAGCAAGGTTCGTGTCAAGCAGGAAGTCTTCGAGCTGCGCATCTGAGACCTCTTTCGTCTTGTTGATCTTAGCCCAGTCGTCCTTGATACATAGTCGCTTCCAGACAAGCTTCAACAGCCCGTCGCGCGTAGTCTTATGGATGTCGTGCCAGTTGATCATCAACACGCGGATGGCGTAAATGAACTCATTCGATTGCAAGAGACTCTCGTTCTCGCCTGAATCCATGAGGGTGAGGATATCGATCATGAGAGCAGGATCAATGACTCTGTGGTGGATGAGGTTCTCAAAGCCTTCCCTGAGTACAGCCTGGAGTGCAGGTCGTTGTGCAAGGCGACCCTGGCCAAAATCGTTCATGAGAAGCTCCACAGCGGAATCGTCATCCAACGCATTTCTGATGTGGGGCAGCATTTGCTCGTAAATCTCCTCTCGTATCTTGGCGTACTCCAAATGACAGGCAGTGCTCACGAATCGGTTGTCACGGATTCGCTCCGCCTTGGTTCGCTGGGTTGACTCAGTGGGTGCTGGCGGTGGAGCCGCATCCTCCTTGAGTTCCTTCTTGCAGAGCATCGCGAGTTTGGCTATGGAGAGCTCGACTCGTTGACACCAAGCATTCGTCTCTTGCTTCGAGCCCGCCTCATGCAGGGCTGCTGCTGCGGCTTCATAGTTCTTCTCACCACAGACCTCGTTGATCCACCGCAGCCTGGCGCGAGACGGCTCCGCTCGCAGGAACTTGGTAAGTGCCGGCTGATTGAGATACTCCTTTGTGAAGAGCTGCGCGGCTTGGTTCTCCTTGATGTACTTGGAGTAGAAAGCTTCAGCCCAGTCGTCTCCGTAGATCTCGAAATAGCGGCTGATTCGCTCCTTGATGCGATTGAGCTTCACGGTACTTTCAGCTTGCTCCATTTTGCTTCGGGTGTTGGCCTTCTCGGTCTCCAGCCAATTGGTCTCATCCCAGACGAGATCAACCAGGGTTGGCATGTCGTGATACTGCTCGGCGAGCTTCATACCATCAGTTGCAAGTCCGATCTCCATGAGACCGATGATATGCGCTGGACGAACGATGTTGTTCCATTCATTCTTGAGGCTGCGCCCCATTTCCCGCTGCTTCTCTTCGCTCTGCTCGAGTGCCCATTGGAAGCGCTCGATGTGCGTCTGGCAACAGACCTTAACGAGGCGCGGGTTGTCCTTGCCAATTTTTTGTGCTAGAGCCTCTTGGTGTCCTTCCTCGAAGTTGGAAACCGCCAGGTTTCGCCCCACATCGACAAGACTGCGAAGCGAACTGACAATGTTGTGGGATGAAGTCCACACTGCTGGTAGAATGTCGTAGCCATGGCCAGGTTTGAGAATGCCATCCTCAAGTGCGCTTGGGTCGAGGCCGTAGGACTCAATGTTGGCTTGTCGAAACTCAAACGCGCCCTCCAAGGCGACAAGCATGACATCACCGCCTTCACTCAGGCGCTGCATGATGGGTGGATGCTCCTTAGATCCGTCCTTGATGTAGAATGTTCGCAGAAAGAACCAACCCCAGGGAATCAGAATATTAATCGAATCCACATCTTTGAGAAAGAACTGCCTGATGAAGTCGTTCTCCCCAAGCTCTGGCCGGATTGGTGTCTTGTATCGTTCATTCAAAGCCCTGATTATGTCCCCCACTATGATGTTGTCGGGGTACAGTTCCGGGTGCTTTAGTTGATCCTGCTGCTTTTCTTGGTACCAGAGCCATAGTTTGTGTGCAGCTGCGAGTTTCTCAGCCTGCCATAACAGACGCCACTTGGTGACGAATGATAGCGGTGGGTAATCAGAGAGAAGTCGATTGATGAGAGTACGTAGTGCCGCAGCTCGCTTTTGAAACTGGTCGTCCATGCTCGAGGTGACCTTGTCAATGTACTCATACGATGAGCTCAAGATACCAAGCGCTGACATCCAAAGCAGCTTGAGTAAATCTCCTCGTCTGGAAATGAAGAAACGAGAACTTGACAGAAAAGTCAAGTAGGTTTGCGGGGGTTGATGCTGAAAAAAGTGGGCCTTGCTCCAGTTTGCTTTCGTGCGGTTACTCGACGTCGGTCGTCATCCCCATCGTCTGGGCTCGGGTGGTTGCGCACTAATCTGCAAGACTCCATACTCTTGTACGAATAGATAAGCAATAGCACGCTTTTCTTTCGTGTTCTTATCGCCCAAAGAATGACCAGCAATTACAACGCTGGGCTCCTCGCGCAAGTAGATTGTGTCCTGAAAAGGCAAGGGTGGGTTTCCGGAATCCAAGAGCAACTGATTGTCGGGGGTCTCTTCGGGTCGGGCAAGGGACGCAACGCATATCGCTCCCGGGAATTGTACGTATGCAGTGTGTCCGGGATGGGGAAGTAGGAGGGTTGCGGTCGGTTCCTGGGGAATTTGTGGCTGGTGGAAAGAACTGAGTGGGATCCTCCGGGTGATGGTTGCGCCCGTACTGGACAGGTCCACTTCTAGGAGGGAATAATCGATAGACTCCGGGCCCGTCGATGCTACCAGTACTAACAGCCCAACAGAAGCGTTCGAGTGTTGCTGCTCGATAATTGCAAAGTCCAGCACTTGAACATCTTGAAGATTGCGGGACTCAGGCGAAGCGCCGGACTGGACCTTGGCCGCAAGTTCCGCTTGCGCATCGACCTCGCGCACAAAGTTGTGCTGCCCTGACCAGTTCAGATCCCACTGTTGAAACAGACCAGCGCTGGTCACTGTGATGATCTCCATCTGCCCCTTTGAGTCTGACGGGCGGGCTTTGACCGAAGCAATTGTTTTCCGGACCGCGCCTGCTATGAGTCCCCGAAAGCTGAAGAAACTCCCGTTGGAGCTATTCGGCGCGTTTAAAATGGTCGCAGCGATGTTCGGCCGGCCCTGCGAATCTCGAAGCGTCAAGTGCGCAAGTCTGCCGCTGCTGGTGATCAGAACAAAGCCTGCATGCTCGATGTCCACTATATCATTTACGACCTCCCCAGAGTACAGCTTCACAGCTCCTTCTGCACCCTGGTGACGTTGCGGGTATAGGTTGCGGGCTTCAGCCCCATCGATGTTTTCCCAGAACGCAATCTTGCCCGTCGAGGGCGCGACTGCGACGACACCGAAATCGTTGGTAGGCCCATTTCGAACAATAGCGCCCAGTGGTAGAGGGTCGGAGGCTCTCAGCCCGAATGGCAGCAAAAGGGAGACGATCTTCGAGGCGGTTTCGGCGTTGTAGTCCCATACCAGGGCGCGCTCGTGTGTGAGAGCGAGGGCGAGGCCGGCAGAGGGAAGAGCAGATGCATAATATGGTGCTAAATGTATTGTGAGCGAGCGGGTAGTGATGTTAAAAGCAATGCGACGTACCTCGCAGGAGCGCCTTGGGAAACCCTGGCAATTTCTTGACCGTGTAGTTCGCGTTCTTCGTCTAGAGGTTTACGTGTCAGTCCAAGTCCAACCCTCGAGTCTAGCATTGACAAACCAGATACAAAGCATTGTCCTCCTTGACGGCGCGCTTCGGTGCTGCCTTCTTCTCGCGGACGGGCATGTCAACAAGCACCAACGAGCTTTCGGGGCTGTCGTGTGCCGCATGTCCGTTCATCAACAGGCTTCCATTTCCGTTTATGTGCGCATCGTCTTTGGCGACAAAAGTCTCGTCGCCAAGCTTGCTGCGCTTGCGTCGAGGTTGCTGCTGCAGACCTTCGGACGTCCGCTGGCGCCGCTTCGAGGTCGCGCGCAACGAGCTGCGCTGGCTGACTATCGATGCCTCCGGTGAGAACATGGCGACCGAGGATGGAAGGAATGACGAGACGCGATGGAGCGCGCCTTTGGGTGGTGGTCGTCGTGAAACCGGCGCCGCGTGGTTGACAACTGAGAGTATGTCTGTTTTGGAAGCTACGGGCAGGGATGACCACTGATGCTCCTGGAAAAGTGGGGCCGCTAGTGTCAAGGCTGAGTGCTCTAGTGGCAGTTCACTCTGCGCATATGCATTCCTCGCACAAACATTATTTGAACATTTTGTCAAAGACTAGTCATGTCTGTCATAGTAATTTGGGATTAGCTACTCCAGCTTTTTTCATATGAATGAAAGTGCACAGGGCCGTGCCGATCCGATCGCTCGGAGGTATATGATCACCTGAAGGTATACGACCGCCTGGAAGTATACACAGTATCGCTAGCCTTCAATTGCGACAGTGAGGCCATGTGTATAGCTCCTGGCACCCTGATCGCTTTCTATCGTAGTCGATAACGGGTACTATCTAATGGCCTTATCTGGAGCAACCCATCCTCTCGGCGTTCAAGAAGAACAGTTCAGCAATTAATCTCACTAAACCTGAGCATCCACGACATTGAGCAATTTCTGCATTGTGTCTCAAAGTACCTCCAGACTCGCTGTGAGGACCCGCCCAAGTATTCGACAATGCAGCTCGACAGCATGAGTCGTGACTATGAGCTGGACCCCGAGCACAAGAAGGCTGCACTGCCAGCTGCTATGCGTGGTGGGAGCAAAGATGCAGCAGATTGTATGCAAGTTCTGAGAGGAATTCGGCTGTACCTTGGCTTGCCATCACGAGAAGTGTACGCTCTCTAGGTGTACACAGTCGCGGTACTACATGTCTGGCTGCGGCAGTCACTTTTTCACATATAACAATCTAGGTTACATAGGTTATGTTGCTAACGGATGAGTCGATGTGGAATGCAGCGATAGCTCATATACAAACACAAGAAGAGTTTCATGTGCCAGAATACCTGTTTGCTTTTGTGTATCGGTTGGCTGCTCAGTGGTACGTCCAGGGTCCGCTCTGCGCATTCCTCACAAACACTGCTCTAGTTCTCGAAGAGTAGTCGTGCAGAATGTATGCCGGCAACGAGGTTTATACTCTATGTTGTTATAAACAATAGATACTGCTATAGTAGCCATAGAGAGAGGATCATGCAATCTTTTCAATCGTCAACCACGACGAAAGGTAGCTAGGGGCATTCGACAGTCTGAATGCACACAGGAAATTTCTGAGAATCAATCGCGACAGCAAGGCGCTGTGCTGTGTATAGCTTCAGCCAACGCGACCGGCAATACAATACAGGTATTAATTATGCACAAGTTCACTCATGGTAGAAGCATGATGAGGACGATCAGACATGTTCGTAAATCGTTAATATTCCTTATACTCGTTACAGATTCCTATCAAAGGAAGAGCGTTGCAATGTCATGGAAGCTGTTCCGCAGCCATCATGATCGACAACGAAAGAGATTCCCGACAGAGCTAGTACAGTACATATGTAGGTGACTGTCTGGACCCAACCACAACAGCATACCCATAGTCAATACCATGACCAGCGACGAATTTCACAGCGACGACTAGCTAGTACACGCCAGTATTCAGTATCCGAGAGTTTCACCCCTCAACCCCGCCTCCCTTTCGGGCCAGGCAGCGGGCTAATACTTCTTGCCATGGTCCTCCTCGTCGATGCTCTTGTCGGAGGAAGCGGTGCTCTGCTTCTCGAGCTCCTCGCCCATGGGGCCGTGGATCTCTTCTTCGAAGACGGGCTCGATCTCGACGGTTTCGAATTTGGTCTTGAAGTCCTCCATGACGTGGGTGGAGGAGTTTGAGCGACGCCGGGCTTTGGCCATGTTGGGGCGGATGTCTATACGAGTTCTTCGCCGGGTGAGCCCTGGATGTGGGTTAGTGTATAGTTCAT